ATTCTTCAACTATTCAAAGAAACGAATAAAAAATCCACGAAACTCATTTTCACATTTAAGTATTTTTTTTTCGCCTTCGCTCCATTGTATGACGTACATCAGTTTTCTTAAGTCTGATAATTCAAAACATTCAGATATATTCTAAGGATTCCAATAAATAAAATTTCCTCGAACATACATACACCATCCTGCCACAGTTGTTAAATTGTTATAAAAAGTTTCGAACCGAAGTTTGTTGCGTCGTTTGCCTGAAGTGTATTGCCTAGGTGAGAAATTATTAGGAGAACTGACAACCAGTTTCAACTTTTAATAGGGACGTAGCGGTGAGTGGAGGCAGCGGTACGGAATGAATACCTGGTATATTGATAGGGGGATAACAAGGGGTGGCGGCAACTGTGCCATTGTCAGTATCCGGGGGTGGCTTTGTAATTGGGACAGTCCACGCTTTCCGCCACCAATATGGCGCCCTCGGTGATTAGCCGTCTGCAAGGTTACTCCATCCAACTTTCTTTAAGCTTTTCATTTTATCTTCTTTTTACTTATGTCATATAATGTTACAGAAAAAAATCCTTACATCCTCAGATTTTACAAAAAAATATTGGAGAGTGACTATCCCAATGAAATACAAGGAATAAGTTATCATGCGTCAAGTCAAGGTGTATCGAGAAGTTCTATGGCTATTTTGGTCTTAATAATTTGGATACTTGAACTTGGAATCATCATCACGTTTCGCTCGATAAATTTTATTTCTAGCACAGGGCCGTGCATAGAAATCAAGAGCTCCTAAGATTCCAGGGTCACTCAAAATATAGAACACCGCTGAAACCCAATTTTATCCTTCGCAACTGATAATAAAAACAATTAAATAAACATAATAATTTTTAGAAAAAGCTGTAAACATATTGTGTTATAGGAATGTTTTTGTATGCTCGGATACCAACCCCTGAAATACGGTCTGGAGAAACAATCAAGGAAACAGAAGATGAGCTAAGACTGATTAATTTAATAGTGATAAATGATCCTATCTGTAATCCACAAAACCTACGTTCCTTGGAGCGATGTGACATAAATAGGATTTATGTACTCTGGCCTCATCTACGGTTTCTAGATACATTTTCGACTGGACTCTCAGATCTGTGACGAATTCGAACCACAATACGATATCATTTCGCCTGATAGAGAATCTAGAATGTTTCTATGGATTACACAGAGGTTGACAAAAATTCCTTCCGGTGCAAAGTAGGAGAAGAAATTGCAGATGAGAATTGGGATCATTAGGATCTCTAGGATTGCCGACATCATACGTAATGTTGCTGAGCTGAACTCTCGCCAACAACGGAAGTAGACAACTCAGCTTATCCCGTTGTGGACGACAGCCTTACAAAACTGAAGAGAGACCTCTCGATGGTTGGGCCAGAGGTGCAGATGCAACAAGAGGTCCATTGGACTTAATCATAAAATCTAGTCTAAGGCGAGGATATACCGAAATCAAGTGCGCACATAGAAACGGAGGTCCTGTGCTGTTTCCTGTCGAAAAATCATCAAAGAATTCAAAGGGTATTCCATATAAGACGTCCGTGTGTAAACTTGCAGGTGTATGCAGTGTTAAAGCTAGAAAAAACCTGATCAATATCGTCATCAAAGAAATGTATTCTGTAGAAGAACCGTTCCAGGCCCCATAATAGTGAAGAGAACACAAATGTTGAACGTCTAACAGTATAGCCACATGTACTGAATTTTACCCACTATGGGACGTACAAAACCTCAATAATGTCAAGGGTAAGCTTAAAACTGGTAACACTTGATGCAATTATTGGCGCAGTGATCTTGCGAAATAGTATCCCCTACGTTAAGAATAAGCTTCTTCGAATTTGTTAGAGGTCGGGGGGATGACTTGTATTTGATGGCCAAACATGTTCTTGCAAAATCAAAAGAACAAAAATTTAAAAGCTCCCAGTAACTTATATGATCTTGTAAAAATCTATCTCCAAGAGAGAAGAGTGACTTAAAGGAAGATATTACAAGGTCCAAGCTTCCAGAAAGATTGGATGCCCTCAAGGATCAGTCTTTGTTCCAGTTCTATAGAAGCCAATTTTTGATGAGTTGCTGAGAGTGATGGAAGAATAGTAGTGGTATTTAAATGCATAGTTGAAATAAACAGAAAAGCAGAGAAATGTACCAGCTGGGCGGCAAGATTCATGGAAGGGAAAAGAGATGAACAGCAATTGCCAAGATGGACCCTATCAATATCAATATAGGGCAGAGAATACTTTCAAGTGAGAACTTATCTCAGTGTAAGGTTTAAGTAAAGAGAATCTTGCAACAAATTCGATTCATACAAAACGAACTTTCGTGTATGGGGTGCACTCAGGGACCTCAGATATCTAACGACCATGACTATCCATGAAAGTCATAAAGGGTATCCTGAGATATGCGGCCACGATCAGGAACCAGAACCTCACACACTCATGCGACAAAGAAAAAGACTGAAGGAAGAATCTTTTGCCATCTAATGCACAAATTTTCAATTCAGAATCAATAAAAATTAATTGGTTTTTGAGCAAAATATATAGAATTATGTACAATTTAAAATTTGCAAATATTTTGCTTATTAGAAAGTGTTGAAGCGATCGGAACAAATGGAAATTCGATGATGCGACATCGGGCAAGTATGATGGGTGAGGCATTACCTCTTACCCCGATTCAGTAATTTTTTCCAGGGTTCGTCTTACGCAGTGCGACCTTGCGCTTTCGTGTAGCGGAATAACGCACTTTCTGTTGATAATCGTCTCTTTTCAATTAAAGATCTAATTACACGTCCCAATTGTACACAATAAAGGTCTGCATTCACAGTTTGTCCAGGTTTTAGAACTTCAAAATGAACAACGGCGGGAATATGCCCTCAAACACACAATGGGGCCTTTTGGTTGTGTAAACCTGGCTTAGCAGAGTACTTCGTGGCGATTATTTTGGAGAGAGCCACTGCATTTTGCGTTTTGGATTATCATACAGAATACATTTTTCATCTCCGATGATCAAGCCAACAAAATACGTTCCTGTATTGTGCCGTTGAAACAATAAGTGGTTTTCCAATCTCCTGTAACTGTTTTTGGATGGTCAACCAAGGTTGGTTAAGAGCTGTTTGGCAAGGAATTACTTGGATTTCCGCCCTTAAACGTCATTGGTGATCCTGATCGGTTTGAACCTGAAAGATCAAAATTATCGCATTTGAACTTAAGCCACCTTTGTAATTTAAGATCATCTAATGAATGCATTTGGACAAACGTCGCAAATGTTTTTGGTAGCAACTCTTTTGTTACTATCCTTGTGAAACTCAAAAAGCATGCAATGCCAGATATGTTCCTCTTCTTGTATTTGATTGGCCACTTCACTATAAATTAATTTAACAATTTGCAACTAAAGAAGCCAGTCTAATCTTAGAATGTCTTCCTGTGACATAGATCAACAGAATGAGCTGACAAATGCAATCATGCTCAGAAATGATATTACTTTTTGGTCCCCCTAATATTATGAATAAGCCTAATATATGGAAAGAGACAATCTGGGAGAACAGAATTGAAGCATAGAGCCAGTGGATAACTTCTCCTAAATGAAGTCCAGTATTATTCATTTTTCTTCCAGATTAATTATTGGAAACCTCATTGACTGCAATAAATTATGTTTAACATATTAATTGGAAATATGTATCAAACAGACCTGGGTGAAAAGTATTTTAAAATACTGAGTATTTTGTTTTGATCAAATAAATTTCTAATAACCTTATATTTCAATTACTACTTATTTTTACACTTAAAATTTAATTTAATACGTATTTAAATTTCAAATACATGCTTTTTCTGTAAACAATTTAAAAATTTGGCGATTAAAATTGTATTTTGGGATTACAAAATACTTGGTATTTTAAAATACTTTTTTTGCCCAGGTCTGGTATCAAATAATTTAAAAAGATTTCCAATTTTAATTTCATGTGATTTTATCATTCATTTCGATTTCAAAATACATTTAATCAAAAAATTGTCTTTACATTCTTATGGTTATGTACATCCTTTGGTATAACAAATACTTTGTTAAATGTTTATTTTATAAATATATATCTTGCATTTGTATTATCCTGATTAATGTTTATATATAGTATTATTATTTCAACTTAATATACTGCTATTATTTGTTAAATTTTTATTTGTAAATATGTTTTTCCATTTTGGCATACTTTCCCGTTATTTTATTTATGTTTATTTACAATGTTGTTATTTCAGTTTTATTTTATCTTTAATATTTCCATAGATATATCTATTATATTTGCTATGATCCTGTACCACTACAACCCGGGAAGTCTTGGATTCAGTAGTATTTAGGGAAAGCACTGTTTCTAGGTCTAGGGTTATGCAAGGAGGTGATTTGACCGAGATCATGTTCAACGGTCAGAGATCATGTTCTCCCCTAATAAATTATTTTAATTAAGGGTACCCACTTTATAGAGAATGAACCAGAATAAATCATTTTTCTGCCATGAGTCGGGATTCAAACGTGGGAGATTTAGCATTGGAAGCTCAGTACTCTACCACTGAGCTATCTCACTCCCATTTATTTTATATATAATTTCTTTAAAATTGTAAGTTAATTTAATTTAGATGACTTTAATTTTATCATTCAATTCTCCTTGAATTTATGTGATATACAATAATTTAATTATTCTTAATACTTTAAAACATTTAACTGTATTTCCTAAATAAACTCTATAAAAAAAAGAAAAATCTTATTTTCACGTAAACAATTATTGTAGCTTTAGTTCTATCTTTTTGTTTTTATTTTTCTAATTTTATGTTGTTTTCTTTAATTATTATTAAAAAATAGCATAGATAAAATGTAAGTATAACATTCAAACATATGATATGCGAATTCACATGGTTTATGTAAACTTTTTCAAAGGCAAGTAAACTTCTGCATAGGCAATTATCTGTTATGTCTGCAATGCAAAAGAACAGAAAAGAAAACTAAAGTATCTAGATTTATTAAAATAAATAAGTAGACATATAATCAACAAATTTGAGTAGTTATCAAAATAAAATATAATTTTTAGCTATATTATAAAAATCAACCTCCAAGATCATTATCCAATATTACCTTCTTATCTGATAAGTAATGGAGTTACATTAATAATCTACAGCAAAGGTTTTCTTCTTTTTTCAGGTCCATGATTCTCTTTTATTCACTTCTTTGTTAATCAAAAGAAAAATTATATTTTTCTTTTTCCTTTTTCTAGTTTTGAATTTTTTTCTAAAATTATATTTTCATTAATTTTTTTGTCTATAGATCACTATAATAAATAATCACATTTCGTTTTTATTATTATTCATTAATGCATGTTTCGGGCAATCTCTGACCCCGCTCTCTTCAAGCATATATCACCGAAAATTGGTAAGTCCAAGATACTAATCAGTTTGTTCAATATCTTACATTCAACTAAAAAACGCTTTGTGATTTTTATTATACTGACCAATAGACAAAAAAAAATAAGAAAAAGATATTTTTCGTAACACATAATGTGCTAAAATTCAATTGTAAACTAAAAAAAACAGTATTATTAAATTTACAAACACAAGCTTTTGAATCTTGGCATACATACTCATTCAAGTGGCCTGCAAAACATGTTGAAAGTTCCCTGTGCTATGGGTTGACCACAAGGTTGGGTTCATTTAAAAGTAATTTGTTTATGATTTTCGTAGATATATGAGTTTAGTCTCAATTAACCTCTATACAAAATTAAAATATTATAAATCCTCATTAAAAAAGATACTTTTCCTACTGGCTATAATTTTGGAAATATGAGTCAGGGGAAATTAAGAAAGTTTTGGACTTAATTTGTACAATTGCAAGAACAAAGAATTTAAATTTTTATTATTCAACCATAATGTACAAATTTTAAGTTATAAAGTGTTTATATATTACCTATGATAAAAATGAACTTTACAAATTACAAGAGGGAAGGTTTTTATAGTGAAAAATTGCCACTCAGATATCTGGTTTTATTGTGTAATTAAATTGATAATGAATTCTCTTCAAAAAGGGTCTTATTCATTTTTTTCTTAGTCTATAGTTTTTGAAATGAAGTGGGAAATAAAATAATAAAATAAAAATCAATTGTTTTGCCTTTCTAAGTTTTTTCTTATCTGAAGGTATACCAGTCATTTTTTACAAATTTTATTAGGTAGAGTAATTCAGGTTTTCATATTATTTTTATTATTCCTTAGTACCTTGATGTTCTGGGCTTTCTTTTTTTTGCTAATTTTCAAAAGCTAGGTATTTAATAATTCTCTCTCCACATCATTGTAGATTTTACTCCACAAGTTGTTTAATTTAAAAAAAAACAAAAAACTATTATTTGTAAAATTTGACATGCTATCTACAACATGCAATCTATGCTAAAGATTTTAGCCAAGTAACTCCATATAAGTTTTTCTTTACATTTGTTAGGCATCCTTTACCTAACTCAAAACAATTTGAAAGGAAAAATGAAGGTAATCTTTCATGAAGAGATTTTGCTCTAGTATAAACTAATGACCTCAGACTAGTGTCCAAGTTTAAGAAAAATGTAAACAATGGCATTTAAATATAAGAAACATTTTAACAGTGGCCTTTAAATGGCCTCCTATTGTGCTCAAAACCTAATGCTGGGAACTTTTAATAATACAAGGCACTTGAATGAGAACGTGTGACTAGTTTGAAAACTTTGGAATTTTGTTTGCCTGTTTTGGCTCATTTCACTACATTATACAATTCTTACTGTCTATTACTTGATAATCTAAAACACAGGTTAAACAATGAGCAGCCTCCTGATTGCATGAATACATTTATCAAGTCAAGCAAAGTTAGTTTGTTAACTCACAAATATTTAAGACAGAGGAAAATACCAAATTTGCTATATGCATTGAAGCACAGATACAAATGTAGTATAAATAAATGTATGCATTCAAATATATAAAGACAATGTACATAACTATATTTTTTGGTTGCCTTGAAAACTGTAATACTAAATTTACTTTTTTTCTTCTTATATATAACTCCCATTTGGATTACAAATTACTCACTAATGTTGTTTAGATATCAAATGCTACTAAATTAATAATACAACCCTTAGTAATGACAATATTATATATAACTTCTGCTAAATATACAATATATTCTTACGGCAAACGATGAAGAATTAGTCAATTTACAGGAACACCAAAATTTCAACTGACATTAATTTGTTCTATTTGTTGTGACTTTGGAGTGAAACAATTTATTTGGTAAGGAATGAAAGTAAAATAATTCTTATATCCTAAAATCAAAGAAGAGTTACTGGTATCTATCACAGAGAGAATATTAAGTAAGTGTTGAAGGATAAAATTCAATAACCTTCTATAATATGACTTGTCCTCATTAATCAACAGATACACATGAGGAATTACAAATAAATGTATATGTTCAATCATCAAAAACATATAAAGAAAATTAACTTTTAATATTACAAAAAGTTTAATTAAGTACATAACAGTCCTTGCAATTACAGTTTATTCAATTATCTATTTTCTAGTATAAAATTGTTGATATGTAAAAATGCTAAATTTTTGAGTTACTTGCAGTTATAATAACCATTTTCAATGAGAATAGTGTGCTTTATGATTTTCCTAATCAATCATGAATTAATTAATATTTTAAAAACGTTTTTAGTATTTCGTTAACATATTGTAACAATCTTTCAGTAAAAGATTAGAGACAATACTAAAAATATCAAACAAATACTAAAAATATCAAACAAATTCTACACCATTATATTTTATTTACATTTAAAATATAATCATATCTACCTTAAATTAGAATCCGTCAAATTCTTCAATGAGAAATTACAATTTATCGCTTCCACTATGAAGAGTACCACATAAAATGCCATTATTTTCCCAGAAAGAGTGCCTAAAGAGTAGGGTACATACCAACACCATTTCCAAACTGAGGTGGATTAATGTTAAAAAATAAAAATAAAATATAATAATAATATATAATGCTAATAAAATCTTATAAAATAAAATAAATTAGCCTAACAGATCATTTGAGGAAGTTATAGTCAAAGTGGTGTAATTCACATTTAGAACAATTCTGACTTAAGTTCAAATATACAATCTGAAAGAGCTAAATTAGTAAAAAAAAAAAAAAAAAAATGTAAATAAATAATAAGTAAACTAAGTCACTATAGTTCACTGATTTTTGTGATCTTTTTCAATTTTTTATCGTCAAAGTATTTATTGAGTTGCACAATGGTATATCATTTTCAGATGTTTAAAATAAATCAAAGATAAAATTAAGACTAAGTTGGAACTTAAGAATTTGTCACATATTCTAGAAAAATGGTTTGTTTCTCAAAATGAAGATTAATTGAATTATACCAACAAAGGCAAACAAAATAAAAATTGTTCTAAGAGGAACATAAAATAAAACAAAATAGTGTGAACTATACTGGGAGTAAACAAATAATAATAAAAACCTAATAATTCAATCAAATTTAATGGTAAATAGTGTGCTTCTAACATTTGGAGCAGAAAGGAGTTATGAACAGCATCAAATTTTTGTAATGTCATTCATCTCATTGGTAAAAACTAAAGGCTACAGACGTAATAGGAATATTTATTTTTTTTTTTAAATCAGAAGAAAAAAACTTTCTTGTACATTTTATACAACTATTCAACTTTAAGTAAACATTTCAAATCATTTAAGTTTTAATTTTATTTTCACTGTGATTCCTAAAAACAACTATGGTAACCAGGATGAAAGAATAAATAAGAGAAGTAGCCTAAGAAATTAAAATTAATGCAGCATTGGTCTGAATTACACCTGTAAAGATTAACTTTTGTATGAGGTTCATGCAATAAATGTAGTTCATCATAATCGAATAGGTTGGTAAACTCTATAATATCATGGAAAATTAAAAAGAAATACTATAAGAAAGTACAACAATATGAAGTTAGATAGTTCACTGTTTTCTTTTACAATATTACAAATTATTCTTATACAGCTTTTAAGAACTTCTCATAGGCAAATAATTCATATTATATAATATAAATACTATTGTTTAAAACATTACAATACTGAAGAATACTATTTAATATCAAACATGCCTTTTGTGAAGACATTAATTTTAGTTTTAGCTAAATTCTAGATAGCATTAATTTAAAAATTTTGTACCCTTATGTTTGAAAACAAGAATTTTTATCAACAAATTTATATTGAAATTTTAATTATATTTTAAAAATTGAAGTAACTTAAATATTTTAAAAATATATGTGTATAATTTTAATATTCATTAAAAATTTTATTTAATCATTCAAATAAAATTATGACAGCAAAAAATAAATATGTCAGCTGCTAAATCTATTGAAAAGTGGAAATGGTATGGAATACCAGGTGCTAACTACCCATAAAAACACATACCAAATAATCGAAACTACCTCATTAGATACTAAGCAAAATGTACCCTTTTATTGAACTAGAAATATTTAAAGAAAAGTACATCAAAACCAAAGCTCCTCATCCCCCTCATGGCTCTTTAATAATTAACAAGCGATTTATCATATTATGTTATAATATGTACTACAATACAATTCTCCTTCCTGTACATTCGTTCATTCTTGTTTAGTGGTGTATAACATCAGTAGTCATCCACACCATTTTTTCTGTTTAGTTTATTTTCTCATATATATTTCAATATTTATACACACACTTCAAACAATACAAACACACAATTATGAAGCAAATGGAAATTATTTTACCAGCATTCATAATTCTTTTTCGCTCATTTTGTTCAAAAGGAAAATCAGTATTTTGTAAATAATCATTGTAGGGAATTTGAGTTCCAGAATATTTTGTCATCTGTTCATTTATTTAAATCACCATGTGTCTAACCTATAATTTTAATTTAATGTGCCTTCTAGCTTTTGAACATCTGAAGAAACACTTAAGAGCTGATTTTTTTTTTTACCTTTACAATCTAATAATTAACAATAACTTTTTTGAATCTCTTGAAAAATTACTTTCAATTGAACAAATAGGTTTGTATTTTATAAAGATGAAGTGAACATATCTATATAACTTTTTCACAAAATACTGATAATTATGAAGTACCTACACTAAAATATGAAAATCTTTATCTTCCAGCAAGCAATAAGTGGAAAATGTGTCAGTCAAATAAAAGTTTAAAGTAGACTACCATATATTTTCAATCACTATTAGGAACCACTGTCACAGATTGGACTTGCTTTCCTGGTCACTTAGAGGAATGTTATAAGAAGTCACAAACATATAAATATAATTACTAATATCAGTATTTTTATATAATTGTGTAAGAATTTGTACTCTTATTTAATTGATTTATTATATAATAATCCACATATATCCAAGCCTGGGAGCTTCTATATTCTTTATTATTATTATTATTCAATTTCAATTTATATACTTATATATATATATTTACGAGTGGCTATTCTTGACTTTTAAAAAAGTTAGTTAATTTCAATATAGTAGAGTTATAAAATATTGCTCTAATTTACATTTGAATTAACCTTTTTTGACACAATTCAATGAAATTAAAATATTAATTGTTTTAAATAACTTTTAAAATTCATGAACCCTTGTTTGCACAATTTACATGATGCACACTAACATATTTTGCTAATCTGTTATGGGGAATTTATGAATAGTGTATCATTAAATCTAATAAAAGTTTTATTCAAGTCAGCATGTTGTGGTAATGCTAAATTTTAAGTTACTTTAATTTTAATACTAAATTTTAATTAGTTTTAATAAACATTTTTCAATAAAAATTATGCGCTTTATGTTTTCCTAACCAATCATGAATTAATTAATATTTTAAAAACATTTTTAGTTTATTTACAATTGCAAAAAGTCACTAAGTACACTTCTGGTGGATTTAAACCTAGTAGTACATAGCTGTGATTTTCGATCATATCAAGCTATTAAAAAAACTAATTAAATATACCAAATGACACAAGTCCTATCAAGGAAAAAATAGTTTCACTAAATGCAAAATGGTCTGATTTTACAGAGGAAAAAGTGATCAAGTTACTTAGTGATTTAATATCATAATATTTTGCTTTATGATTTTTTTGCAATATATTGGCAAATATTCCCTATACTAAACAAAATACTTAAAGAAAATGATATTTCTTTTATTGAAAATAAAATTAAGATTAAACAATAAATAGTGACAACAAAAAAATAATTATCTGAAAAGATGGATTAATATGCCCAGCAGAGGCACTTTCCCAAATTTCAACTTCACCTAGTCCTTCCTCCACTGTTATATTAAACTCACAACTAATATCATATCTTTGTGTAATATGAGTATCTATTCTCAGATAAGGACCATAACTGCTATCCATTGGCTTCCACACAGTATCTGGTATTGGATTAGGATTCCTGTGAAAGAAAAAACTAGAAAATTAAAAAAAAATAAATAAATTATAAAGGAATATAGTAAACATAAATTTACTTTAAACAAATGGTTATATAATTATAGAAAAATTATTTTAAAGTTTTTCAAAATTCAATGTTAGAGTATTGGCTTACATTGAATATAAATCTAAGGTGTTTTATTCAATTTTTCCTGTTATGCAACTTATGAAACAGAGAGAGAGATGGAGAGATGATACAATTTAACAGGTCTGGTTGGGCTCCATTTGGGAATTCCAGCAAGAGTCTGAAGTGAGGCTCCCTCATCAGAAATATATATTGTAATGATTTTTATTTATCAAATATCAAATATTAAATTCAAAAATATACATTGGAGTTAGAAACATAGTTGAGGGGAGGAGCCAACCTCAACTCCTCTCACCCCAGTCTTATTCTGGTCATAGGCCAGGATGCAGTCATTGGTTTTTACTAGTATGCTCTCAAGAAAACATGTCCACAGGAGTCAGGCAAGTATCAACCTATATGAAGACTATTTTTGAAGTATCAGTATCAGTAACGTGTATCAGTTTTATATGATTATGCAGTGTTATACATGAGATCAGATTTACCATAGAGACTAATAGTAATTTAATTTTTTTTATTTTAAATTGAATTTTCATAAAATTTGTTTCTGTATTAAATAAAATATTTAATGTACTAATGCCATTTATTAGATCTTTAATAATTTATAGTTAAGAACCATTTAAGCTCTAGACATTCACATAAAATTATTATAATATAAAATCTAATAACTTCTAAATCATTCATTATTTTTTTTTACATTTTTAAAAAATCAGAATATTTGGTTAGCCATAAACAGGGACAGAAATTTTTCATTATTTATTTATTAATTTTAATAAAATTAGAACAATATACATAAGTGGTTAAAAGACAATGATCTTCGGGGCTCTCAGATAGGCCCCTCCTATGGTGATAAAAAGTACAAAACATTTATGTCGGGAACTCATCAGAGAGGTCCCAAAACTTTGCTGAAATAAACGAAATAAAAAACAATGTTTTTGGAGCCTAAAATACAACAGTACTAGAAACATATAAAATAACGATATTCAAGACCATCAGAAGGGCCTCCTAATCATTCTACGATAACAAAAAAGTACTGAACATTTATGATGTGATCCCATTGAAGGATCTTCAAATATTTGTGGAAATAAAAGAATACAAAACAATTATTTTCGGGACCAAACATACCATGGTGCTAGATAAATACAAAATAACAATAATCAAGACCCTCAGAGGGGGTCCCCCTATCATTCTAAGGTGATAAAAAAGTACAAAATATTTATGTTGGGGACCCAAATATCTGTGAAAATAAACGAAAACAAAACAATTATTTTGGGGTACTAGGAAAATATAAAATCATGATTTTGAAGCTCCTATAGTTCAGAGACCCTTGGTGATCGCCAACTAGCTGACCTGGTCAGACTGGGCCTGCAACTTAATTAAGTAGTCTCATCAAAGTTATTGAGGAGATCATATTTCTTACAGGGTCATGAATTTTTGGGGGAACGTTCAACAAAAGGACAAGGACACATTCTGGGAAGGAAGGGAAGAGATGGCACCCCTAATGTTAGGAATTGAATTTCAATGGCTACCAAGAAGTCGTTACTAGGAGTTTATTTAATTAAGTAGGATTAGGATTTATAGGAATCACATATAGTTGAGATAGTAGCTAATAGGTGTACGTATTTTAGAAAAATCTTCATTTTTAGAAAACACAATTACTGAATCCAAGAACTTTCATGGACTGTAGTGTCACTAATTTATTTTATATTTATTAGTCCTGAGTCCTACATTATTTCTTGAACACAACGAACAGCAATAAGATTACCATCTACAATATGGACTACAGTCCATCCTTCTCAGTAGGTGCCAATCCATACTATCTCACACTCCCACATCTATATATCACACATTGAAGGAAGCACAAATCATGGCAGTGCACCCATTCTCTGTTTTCAGAAGACTCTTCCGATCGAAAATAAATTTAAAAAATTGTTTGTTTACACAATGTGCATCCTTCATATTGTCTATCCTTTAGTTAATAATTTATTAAAAAATACTTGCTGTTTACTTTTTATGCATGCTAACAAATAAGAGAGTCTCTAACAAACAAACAAAAAATATGGTATTTTAATTAAAACAAATCAAATAGAAATATCCCTATTCATTTTTGTTTAGTATATTAACAAGATGTAAAATATCTTGAAAATTGCCAAAGAAAAATTGAGACCTCTAAAATTTAATTTATGGGAGAGAGAGGAGATATAAAAAAAAAAAAAAAATACCCTTTAGCAGCAAAGTTGGTCCATAACTTAACCATTCTATAAGCAATAGTCATTTCAATCTCATTAAGAGTTCCATTATCCATTGGAAAAAGATAAACTAAGTCATCTGAATGAGCTACACCTGAAAATTGAAGTAGTTGTTAAGTATTTTTTATTTTTTCAATTACCGTAAATAGAATGATATAAATACATGAGATGAACAAGTATATTACAAAAAAATGTGTAATAAGTTTTTGGCTATAATTATGGCAAAATAAGTTAAGTACACATTAGTAAGGAATTATCTCATCCCATTTGAAGGATCTGGAGTAGTTACCAAAAATGAGTTGTTTTTTTTTCTCCCTACCTCGTTTTCTCTCTTTTTGGCTAAACAGGGTTTTTCCTGGGCAACGGGAGAGGGCAGGGGATTAATGCCAGTGTTAAATACCTCCACTATCAGGATTTAGCTCTGTATGATTCATTTGTTAATTTTAAAGTTACTCATATTACCATAAAAAAACCTGCACCACTAACAATGGTATGGGTTCAGTGCAATGTGAGGAAGTAATGGTTACAAGGCCAACGGTTGTGCAGGAAAGTGACGGGCCAATATCACGCTCAACCGCCAGATTTTCCCCCTTAATTAATTATTTAATGAGGAGTACCCACTTTATAGAGGCTGAGTTTGCCACAGAAAGGTCTTCCGGCCACAGGGTCGACTAGTCATCAGCCAAATTCGAACCCAGAACGTTGAGATCTGTAAGACAGTGCACACCCACTGAGCTACCCCATTCCCAATACTACCATATAGTTATTTTTTTCATAAATAATAAGTAATCCTGCACAATTTATGTTAATTTATTATATGATTTCACATATAATCTATCAAATATATACATACTCACCTCCTGAAAATGGGTAATCAACAGCTTCTCCATAACCAAATTTTGTTAAATGTCCAAGAAAATTAAAGGAATATAGATATGTTGGAGCTCTTGAGAATTGCTTTTTAGCAACTTGAAGTATGCATGATTTCAGCAATGTCATGCCACATAACTATAAGAAAATAACATTTCAATAACATTAAATAAAGGTCAAAGCAAAATAATTGTTTAATTAGATTAAATTAATTAATTAGATTAGATTAAATTAGATACATTTAGTAAATTTGATAAGAAGAAAATTTAATTAAATTATCATAATAAGAAAATGATAATCAAGCTACTTTCACTTCTGACCAAGCACCTCCACCCCGTCTCCCTCCTATATCCCTATAAATTCTATATCCTTATGTTCCTTAGAACTATTTATTCAAAAAAAGCCAATGTTCACGCAAAAAGAAATGAACACACTGTCCCAAAATGGCATCCAAACATGGCGAATTGATGACTTTGGCTTAAGTCAAGTTTTTCGGTCACTGAGATTCAGCATTTGGATTATTTTCATTATAATTGTTCTTTTATTAAAACTGGTTAGTCAGAAAATAATAAAACATGAAGAAATATAAAAATACAATTGGTTCAGTCAATAAAAAAGTGAAGTGCTAAAAGTCATTCAGATTAAAGTTGAAAATCAAGCATCGTTTGTAATTAAGCGATCAACAATTATTAAAACTCCCAGAAATAAAACATATTTCTCTTTCTAAATCAGTAATTAAATTGTAAAATATTTGAAACGGTTCCTTAGAAAATGCACTAAATCGGCGGAAAAGCGGTATTGTTATAAGCGCCTACTGCCTTCTGCCACATAATTCAGATCTCATAAATGGCCGAGTTATAGAGCTCTTATAATGTTTTTGGTATATTATTTTTATTAGATTTTAAAAAATATTAATGCAATAATTTAATTGTCAAAAAAAATTATGATTATTTTATTTTATTATTTTTACTTTTACTTACCTATACATGAAATATATAGTAAAGGACAGTATTGCGATCATGAACATTTTTTAATCTCAATTTTCAACAGAAATACACATTTGAGGTCTCCTGAGTCCAAATAACCAAGTCCCACAAAATGGTCTGTCTGTGTGCATGCGTGTGTGTGTACTTGTGCATGCGTGTTTGTGTGCGCGTGCGTGCTTGTTTATGTGTGTGTGTGTGTTTGTATGTCTGTGTGTGATTGTATGTTAACAGTCTAGCTCAAAAACAAAAAGTCGTACAAAAGTGAAATTATATATTTAAGAAGTTTTCACACACCAGAGATGTTACAGCAACTTTTTGTCAAAATTGGTTTACGGGACTTGGCACTTTATATCATTGATTTAACACATTTTTATGATTTTCTCAAAACAGCTCAATCGATTTTGATTAAATTCATTATATCAGGATAAAATTAAGCAGTTCTTATATAATGTAGGTAACATAATGTAGGTTATATTCTCATTGATGTTCTCTAACAGGAGTTAAATGGCTATTTTTTAATATTAGCTTCCCCTAAAGTACCTTTAATTTATTTTATTGGAAACAATTAACCATTTCACATTGATGACTTATATAAAAAATAGATAAATATAAAATTTAAATAATTAACTAAAGGAGAAATAAGAGATTGCAATGGAAACTAGTTGCAATGGAGAAACCAAAGGAATACGAGCATGCCAGAGCTCACCCAATCTTGCCCAAATTAGAACAGGTTTCCATACGTAACGTGAGCTTAATATAATATGTACTCTGACAATAATATGTGCATATACATATGCGGTTTTCATAAATGCTATTGATATAAATATTAAAATTTGTGTATATAACATTAATACAAATGCTGGAAAGCTAAATTATTGCTGTTCCCAAACATATCAATAACTTTCAGATTGTATGCCTCTATAAGGAATAAATAAAAAAAAACTCCCTAAACATTTTTATTTCCTATCTTTAGGCCTAGTTATTTGTGGATTTATGTTTTGTGCCATTTCGTGTATTTTATATTAAGCCCTAGATTCATGCTAAATGAATATAAAAATTTAAATATATTCAATAATTGTAATATCTACTATAAAGCTATAAACATAGATGGATCTCATGGGAGCTATTAATAGAAGATAACATATTTTTTTTGTTTTTTTATTTGTTTATTTAGAAATATTACATTCTGTCACATCAAGGACATTTATAATAGTGTTCAGAGAAAGCACACTCACACTCTATTTACAATAAAAAAAAAAAAATAAAATAATACAGAAACTTAATAATAATAAATACAATAAATAAAATAAAAATAAATACAATAAAATAAAATAAATGTATATAAACAAAAGAACTAACCTAATCATACACACTCGGGCTTGAGTGGAGGATCTGGCCATTGCCAAAACTCCAATAGATGCTTATTTACAAAAGGTCTCGGGGCCACTGCCGCTTCAACCTTCGAGGAGGATTGTAAGGATGGGTGGTGCTGGATAGAGATTGTGCAAGGGGATTTGGATGATAGGTAAGGTTCTGGTGAAATTTGGAGAATTTTTCTGGAATAAGGTCTAGGACAAATGGGATATTAAGGTCATGGTGTAGGATTTTGTTATTTACATAGAACGGAGCATCAACTATTGTTCGAAGGACTTTAGATTGAAAGGATTGAATACGTTTGATGTTAGAAGCTTTTGCTGTACCCCACAGTTCAAGTCCGTATGTCCATATAGGTTTCAGTATTGTCTTGTAGATAAGTAATTTGTTTTCAATAGAAAGTTTGGATTTTCTGTTTAGTAGTCTGTATAGCTGGCCGTATCGTCGGTTGAGTTCTTGTCTTTTGAGTCTAGTATGTGGGTTCCACGTCAGTCTTCGGTCTAAATGAAAGCCAAGATACCGGACTGTGTCTGAGTAAGGAAGCTGGATGGAATTAAAGTGTACTGGTGGACAGGAACTGCGTCGGAGTGTAAAGGTAATGTGTTGGCATTTAGATTCATTAACTTTAATGCGCCAGTTATTACACCAGTGCTCAATCAAGGTGAGGTGGTTTTGGAGATTTAAGGATGCTATGTTGGGATCTGAGTCGGATGATAGAATAGCGGTGTCATCAGCAAAAGTTGCCAGGAAGGTATCGGGATGGACAGGGATATCGGCGGTAAAGAGGATGTAAAGGACGGGACCCAATACGCTACCTTGAGGAACACCTGCCTCAATTGGATAGCAATGCGAAAATTCAGTACCGCAACGAACTCGGAAGGTACGATCTGAGAGGTAGGAACGGAGAACAAGGTACAAGGACTGAGGAAGATAGTTTTTCAGCTTGGAAAGAAGCCCGGCGTGCCATACCCGGTCGAAAGCTTGAGCTATGTCCAGAAATGCACCCGAGCAATATTGCTTGCTTTCCAATGCTGCGGAAATATGATCAACCACTCGGAGTCCTTGTTGGACTGTAGAGTGTTGTGAACGAAATCCGAACTGATGGGAAGGAAGAGTTTGGGATTCTATAAAGGGTAGGATGCGTTTTAGGAGGATCTTTTCAAAGATTTTTGAGAGAATAGGAAGAAGGCTAATTGGTCTGTAGGACGTTGAGGTGTTGGGAGGTTTGCCTGGTTTCGGAAACAGGATAATAGTGGAATGTTTCCACAAAAGAGGAAAGTGGGTGGTTCGTAGGATGCTATTGTATATGTATGTAAGGAATATGACAGCTTTAGGAGGGAGTTGTCTAAGGATCTGAGAGGTAAGCAGGTCGTATCCAGGTGATTTACGGGTAGGTAGTTTTTGTAAAAGGAATTTGACCTCAGAAGGATTAACTGCTTTAGGCGGTAAGGAGAGTGGGATGGGTGAATTAAGGAATTCCTCTACTGCTGACGTGTGGGTGGGATTGGATTCTGGATGAGAGGTGAATGTAAGGGAAAGGTTTTTGGCGAATTCTTCGGCTCTATCTTCGTCAGATGCTGCCCAAGAGCCATCACCTCGACGGAGAGGATGTGATATGTGATGGGGTTTTAGGATATGTTTGGTGGTCTTCCATAGGGAATTGTCATGAGAAGAGAGGGAAGTGAGGTAGGAGTTGAAGGATTGGGATCTGAAGGTGGCCAATTCTATCTTTAGTTTTTTGCAAAAATAATTATAGGATTGGCGATCGGTGGGGTGTCTAGTACGTTGCCATAATAATCTGGCACGGCGTTTGGTATGGATTAGGTCTATGAGGTGTTGAGGTAACTTATTTTTCTTAGGAGTTCTTGAGGAGTGGTTTGGAAAGGAAGCAGTCCAGATTGCTTGTTGGATAGTGGTGGTAAAAAAGTGTACGGTATTGTCAAGGTCATCTGGGGTTTTCAGGGTCATTCTGAGGTCAATTTTATCGGTAAGGATTTGGTGAAAGAGTTTCCAGTTAACTGGGCCTCTGATGAAGGACGGTGGAGAAGACTTAGGAATAGGAGCTAGAGATAATTGGAGTAATAATGGACTATGATCTGAGGATAGTTCGCCAAGAGGGGTAAGGGAATGATTGAGGGGACCTAAGCCACTGTGGATGAAAAAATCAAGGATATCGGGATTGCGGTTAGGATCTGTGGGCCAGTAGGTAGGTGAGTTGGGTGGAAGGAGACTGAAACGTTGGGTATTGAGTGCAGACAGAAATGTTCTGCCACGAGAATTCGTGGTTCTTGAACCCCAAACTTGATGCTTGGCATTTAAGTCTGCACCCAGGATGAAATGATGACCTAAGGAGTTGAGGAGAGAACTGAACTGGACTTTGGATATGGATCTGTTAGGAGGGCAATATGCTGATGCAAGGGTGACTGGAAAGGAGAAGGCTTTGATTACAATAGCGGTTGACTGTAGGAAATCTTGAGTAGGTAATGGGAGTAAGTGATGGGAGAGGGATTGGTGTACGATGACAGCAGTGCCGGCATGTGCTCTGCCATCAGGGTGGTCAGTACGGTATGTTAAATACTGTGGGATTTTTAAATGCTGTTTTATGGTCAGTCGAGTTTCTGTAATTAGGGCTACGTCAATGTTCTTGTCTTGTAGTAAAGCTGTTAGTTCGTCAACGTGATTTCTAACACCATTCGCATTCCAAAGGAGAATGGACATGGGTTTTGGTATGTGGGTCATTAAGGATTTTTCAAAGGAGGGATGAGGTGAGATACGAGATTTGTAAGGAGTGATATGAGTGGAGTGACTAGGGATTTGAAATCGGTTAGGAAAGATGCTAACAAACTAGTGAGATCTGTTGCATTTGAAGGAGGAGGAATATGAGGAATTTGAGGTTGTTGATGATTATGTGTGTTAGGATGAACAGAATATTGAGATTGGGGCTGAGGTAGTTGCTGCGGCAGGGCTTCACATGTATTATTAGGGTTCTTACCTCCAAGTAGTTCGGAGTATGATAAACTATTGTTAACAATTCTAGAAGGTTCTCTTCTTGGTCTGGTTGTCTCATCTTGAATCCGGTTCTTCTGGTATCTGGATTTGAGGCTCTTATAGGTTTGGCAGCCTTTGTAGTTGGCCGGGTGTCCCTGCTGGCATAGTGCACACACTGCAGGATCTTGTGTTGGTTTGGTGCACTCCACAGATTTGTGCTGTTCACCGCATTTCACGCAACGTGGCAGATGGTGACAATAAGTTTTCGTGTGGCCATACGCCTGGCAATTGTGGCACTGCACAATTTCCTTCTTGGGGTATGGCTTCTCTATCTTCACGATAGTGTAGTACAATCTCTTGATATCATATATTTTTTCAATGCCAGGTGATGGCTCTAGATCCACGAAAAATAAAGGTAGTGGAACTTTATTACTCACTCCTGGCTGCTCCTTATTCTCCTTCAGAACGTTGGTTACCTGACGCACTTTGAAACCAAGCGTCGCTAGTTCTTCTTTTATCACTTCAGTTGGGGTTGAGGAGTGTAAATTTCTAACCACCACTCGTAGCGATCTCTCCTGTTTCAGCTGGTACGTGTGGAAATTTGCATTAGTTTCTGACAGGTACTTCACAATTTTTCGGTAGCCTTCTGCAGTATCAGGTGTTATTTTTGTGTCGTTAGTCCTGTTGAGGCAAGAATAACTGCCGGAGCAGATTTCGTTTAGCTGTGTACACAGTAGTTGAAAATTTTTGATGTTTTTAACAAATATCGGAGGAGGCCTTGGTTCCCTGGGTACTGCTGCTGACTCCATTACTTCTCTGTCATTATGAAGCACTTGGAACGGGTTTGGAGTGAAGAAAGGAGATTCTTCAACCATTTCTTGCGAAGAAGTACCTGGTTGAGGCTGAGGTTCTGTATCTGAAGTTTTCACTGTGGTTATTGGAGCTATTTCTCGCAGGCAGCGACGAGTTCTTTGTTTCACTGGTGAATCACGAGGGGTACTAACTCCGTCTGACCGAGTCCTCTTAGTGGGCACCTTACTGGACATCACTGACTGACAATGCCGCATATCATAAGAGACGAAAAAAAAAAAAAAAAAAAAAAAAAAAAAAAAAAAATATTAAAAAAAAATATGTAGCAAACTGTAAATAACAACTGCTCCGGTGTACAGTTCAACTATATTCAGTAAATAATCAAAGAGATTCCGCTGAAAAAACAGGCAACAACTGAGAGAAGATTTCAGAACACGTCCCTCGCATCAGCTGATCCACTGCCTTCTGATTCTTTTCTTAATATGTTATCTTAGAGAAGAAGATAACATATTAAGAAAAAAAATTTCATTTTTCGATAGCAACAAAAATTCTGATTTGAGAGATTTTAGAGGTGTGAAAAACAGATATCATATTTGTTTATCCAAAAAAAAAAAAATATATATATATATACATATATAGAATAGAATAGAAAAATAATTTTATTCTGAGACGAAGTCCCTTCAGAATAACAAAAAAGTACAGAAATTAAAATTTTACATCTGGTCAGATAAAAACAAACATAACAAATTAAGATAAAGATAGGTCATTAAAAAAAAAAGAAAAGAAAAAAATATTGGTTATACATACTATATACAAAATAAAATAAAAAAATCTATATAAAAAACTCTTGAAACCATACTAAGATACTTAAAACTATGAACAATGTTAAAATATAAATAAACCCTTTTAGAAAAAATAAAAAATACAGAAAAAATAAATGTATATTCTTCTTAACAGTAAAATCTGTTTTTGCTGAAAAAAAAAAAAAGAGAAAAAGAAAGTCGAATCTATAATAAGTATTTAGGTTATGAGCTATATGTGAATATGGTCTTATAGATAAGATGTAATTTTACATAAAAGGTTAGCTGGTGCCTGACTGTTTTTGGGACAGGAATTGGAATAGGAGGGTTTTGAATGTAGATAAGGATGAAGAATGTCAAATTTTGATAAGAAGGGAATTCCAGAAACTAACAGAACGTGCAATAAAGGAGTTTTGGAACGAGGCAGATCTGTGAGAAGGAATGTAAAGGTCAGAAGGTCGAGATCTTGTGGAGAGAGAGTGGACTGAGGACTTGAATTGGAGAAGGTTGTAGGCGTAGGAAGGACGATGATTGTTGATGATATGATAGAGGAATGTACCTAGGAAATATTGTCTTCGAATGGAGGGGAAGAGCCACTCTAACTCAGTGTAGTGGTGAGAGACATGGTAGTATCTCGGGGCACCAATTACAAATCTCACGCAACTGTTCATTATTCTTTTCAGTCTGTCGCGGAGCTCCACCGAGAGTCCATCATACACCACACAGCAGTAGTCAAAGTGGGGGAAGATGAGAGAGGAAACGAGGAGTCTACGCGTATGTTGAGGTAGGAGATGGCGGAAGCAATGGAATAGTTTGAGGGTAGAAACTGTCCGTCGGGAGATGTGAGAAATATGGTGACTCCAGGAGTCAGAAATATATATATATTTGATGGTATAATATGTATGTAAATAGTTCAAATATTTTTTTAAGGAGAAACAAAGCTGAGACTTGTATTTCACACCTTGAAAAACCTGTAAATAAGAATCTTCATAGCAATTGAAAAATAATAATTGTTTGCTCAAAATTGCTGCCTATTGCCTAAAATATTGATAAATTCAACATGGCTTCACCTATCCACACGTCCTTAACCTCTCCTTGTTATACTTACTTAAAAAAAATATATAAAATTTACAGTCCTTACATTTCTGTGAGAAATATGAATGGGATTTTTATGATATTTTATTTGGTTTTAAAGTATTGGTTAGGGGTGGTTAGGGTGGTTAATATCACCATTTTAAATATTTCCCATTATGTATGGGACATAATTAATTTTTTTCCTACAATATATAGAAATCACAAATATATATATATATATATATATACATATATATATATATATATATATATATATATATATATATACTTTTAGTATACTAAATATGAATACTTCATTCAGTCCTTCTTAGAACTGGTGTTATTTTTTAAGTCTGCAAATACTTGTTACAACTGTACATGTAATTAGATAACAAATAATATACATACAGAATAGCTAATAAACAAGTTAAAATATTTTAACAAAACTAATCTTTGATTCAAACAAAACATTTAAGAAATATATCAAATCTTTTTACACGAAAATAATTTTTCTACTCAGAATGATATAATCTCATTTATTATGATGCTAGTTTGTATATTGTTATAATTACAATAACCAATTCATATGATATTTGGACACTAAGAAAATTTCACTTACATCAATAAGTCCAGGTGTCATAGCTTTGAAATCCCCAAGTTGATCCTTAGAAAAAAATTTATAGGTGAATACATCTGTTAAGGAACCAGAAGTATCAATAATTCCTGAAATAAATTTGACATAAGAAATGTAATAAAAATTTAAATGAACATAATTAAGAACAAAAATAGTGAAACTAATTTTGGATTGTTTTGTGTCATTTGTATATGAATAATTCTAAGAAAAGTAATTGTTATTTGTTCAAAAGCATTTTGTCACCAATAACTTTATACTAGTAGCAAAATATCTCTAATTCATCATGATAAAAATTTAAATTCAAGAGTCAATTTGTCACTCATCAGGCAATCTTCTGAATGCACTTGTCAAGATTTTGAACTTTCATAACTTTGTTGTGTACTTTCACCACGTTGCACCTGTATTACAATTGCAATTTTTTTTAATTTTAATTTTAAAATTTTGTTTCCATCCTTTCCTCAACTTTTAAGCTATATGGATTTTTTACAGGCCAAGGGAGAGTGTGGGGAATTAATTACAAAGTTAAAGCCGATACGAATGGCACCAGGATGCGAACTCATAATTATTTTATCATATGAACTTCGGTTTATCCGGTTGCCGGGCAATGTGTGTTTTGCACACACATTAGCCCACTCGGCCATCCTTTCCCTAATGCCAATCCTAATGAAAATATGAAATTGATAAGTTGTAGAAACCTTAATACCTAGTGCACAACGGCAAACCAAGCCAATTCACACACCTGCCCAGGCACCAAGTTTAATCCACCACCCTTATTTGATGACTGACAATGTTCGTGCACCACCGCTAACCACCTCTCTCCGAATATTATTGGGAGGTATCAACAAGTTGTACAGCTTGAATAAAACACTATTAATCTGTTTCAATTCCGCAACGTTTCCCCAACATTTATGCAGGATAACACAGTTGCGATGATATTTCTTTTATCACAAATAGGTTTTTGAGAAAATATTACAGCAATTAATTCATCCTTCCCCATTTTCAACAACAAAGTTGAAAAGGAAGACTGCTGGACTTGTACTCCCCCTCTATGGTTTTAGATCATTGGGTTACGTAAGAAATTTTTTTATTAAAACTGTGGCGTCTATTTTTTAAGAAACTACTAATATAATTCACGAGTGTTACTTTAACTTTCTTTTACCACTAACAAAAACAAAATCCTACAAAATAAAAAATATGTTATATCATTCACCTGGAGTTCCATATGTCCTTTTGAAACTACTCAACAAAGAGGGGAAGAAAACTTTTATTTTAGGCAGAATAGCAATCATCAGTTCCCACATTCATAATAAGTTCCTATCTTCTCTTTAGTAATCAGTTCACAGATATCTATAAAATAGGAGGCAGGGTGGATTGGATAAAAATAATTTCGAGTGTGCATCACAGTCCCAGGAAGGGAGGAGGGAGTGGCTCTAACTCTGGCAATGATCCCCCGCCCTCACCCTCTGGCTCAGGAAAATCCTGTATAGCCTAAAAGGCGAGGAAGAGGAGGATGAAAAAAAGTGTATATAGAATGTAAACTGCAGTGTACCAAGATAATTGTTTTTATTAATAGCATTCATTTGGCCTTCCTCACATTCTAGGCTAGATAGGGATTTCCTCGGCCAGGGAATTAGGGGGGATTAATGCCAGAGTTAAAAGCTCCCTGGACATCAGAACATGAATTCGTAATTATTTATCTAATTCTTTGATCTGGGTTTCCGATCAATGCATGGTGCTGTGCATCAGTTATTTATTTTGCTAAAAAATTAATCCTGTTCCCTAAAAGTGCTACTTCAGAATAAAATTTATCTAGTTGTCATTCATCTCGATAGCCAAAATATTTCAGTATACCAAATAAGTCAGGTGTATATCATTAAATAATGTAGTATTGTTGTAATGCAAATATTAAGCATATAACATCAAAATAATTGCTCCATACTTAGTAGGCTAACTTTTTAAAATAAAATACATGTAACATCATAAAGGTAAAAAAGTTTTTTTTTTTTTTTTTTATTTATTGAATAATAATACAATCAGCCACTGGAGGGCTATAAGTATTAGGGCTAAGAGTTCTCATTCAAACAATATATACAAATAATAGAGAAATGAATATAAATATAAAAAGTAAATAAATAATACTGATGAAGAAAGAAAATAAAAGAAAAAAAAAAAAATAAACAATAACATAAAAAGAAACACAATCATACCTATATACAATATATACATTCGCCCAAGAATCTCCGAGCCAGGCTTTTTCCCCCACATGTGGAAGGCAAAGCAAGACTCCAGGAGATTCCAGTGCCACTTTTCCAGCCGCATCACTGGTATTAGAAGCCAATGGAGACTGAAAGAGGGCACTAGAGCCACAGACGCTCGGGACATGAGTGGAGAAGCTGGCCATTGCCAGGACTCCAGAAGCATATTTACAAGAGATCTCTGGGCCACTGCCGTTTTAACCTTCGTGGAGGATTGTAGGGATGAAGGGAGCTGGATAGGGATTGAGCTAGAGGATTTGGATGATGGATAAGGTTTTGGTGAAAGTTTGAGAATCTGGTTGGGATGATGTCGAGGACAAATGGGATGTTAAGGTCATGGTGTAGGGTCTTGTTTGTGACATAATATGGGGCATTGACTATTGTTCTAAGTACTTTGGACTGGAAGGATTGGATGCGTTTGATATTCGAATGTTTAGCAGTTCCCCACAGTTCAAGTCCGTAGGTCCAGATAGGTTTCAGTATGGTCTTGTAGATTAAAAGTTTATTTTCAATCGAAAGATGGGATGTCCTATTTAGTAATCTATACAGCTGGCCATATCGTCGGTTAAGTTCTTGTCTTTTAAGTCTGGTATGTGGGTTCCAAGTTAGTCTTTTGTCAAGAAGGAAGCCAAGGTAACGGACTGTGTCTGAGTAGGGAAGTGGAATTGAATTAAAAAGGATTGACGGACAGGATCTGCGTCGCAGGGTAAAAGTGATATGTTTGCATTTTGATTCGTTGATTTTGATGCGCCAGTTGTTGCACCACTGCTCAATCAAAGAGAGGTGAGATTGTAGGTTTAGAGATGCTATTTGAGGATCTGAGTGGGAAGATAGAATGGCAGTATCATCAGCAAATGTAGCTAGAAATGTATCGGGATTGGAAGGGATATCGGAAGTGAAGAGGATATAGAGAACTGGGCCCAAGACACTGCCTTGTGGAACACCAGCCTCAACTGGATAGTAAGTGGAGAATGCGGTGTCACAACGGACTTGAAAGGAACGATTTGAGAGGTAGGATTTGAGGACTAGGTATAAGGATTGGGGTAAATGGGTTTTGAGCTTGAAAAGCAAGCCATCGTGCCACACCCGGTCGAAAGCTTGTGCTACGTCCAGAAAGGCACCAGTGCAATAGTGCTTGTTTTCAAGTGCAGAGGATATATGGTCCACAACACGAAGGCCTTGTTGGACAGTGGAATGTCTTGAGCGGAATCCAAACTGATGAGAAGGGATGTTGTGGGATTCGATTATGGGTAGGATGCGTTTGAGAAGGATTTTCTCAAAGATTTTTGAGAGGATCGGGAGTAAGCTTATCGGTCTATAGGATGATGTGTTATTAACAGGTTTACCTGGTTTTGGAAACAGGATGATTATGGAATGTTTCCACACCAAAGGAAAGTTGGTTGTGCGAAGGATGCAGTTGTATAGATAGGTAAGGAATATGATTGCTTTTTTGGGAAGTTGTCTGAGGATTTGTGAAGTGAGGAGATCATATCCAGGGGATTTTCGGGGTTTTAATTTGTTTATAAGGAATTTGACCTCAGAGGGGTTAACAGGTTTTGGAGGTAGAGAGAGAGGAATTGGTGAAGAGAGGAATTCTTCAACTTCAGCAGTGTGGCTGGGATGGAGTTCGGGGTGAGGGGTGAATGTGTAGGATAAATGTTTAGCAAACTCCTCTGCTCTATTCGCATCTGACGAAGCCCAGGAACCATCATCACGGCGAAGTGGATGGGAAATGGACTGGAATTTAAGGATTTTTTTGGTTACGTTCCAGAGGGATTTATCACTAGCGGATAATGAGGAGAGGTAGGAATTGTAGGATTGGGTTTTAAAAGTTTCCAGTTTCTTTTTTACCTGTTTGGAATAATAATTATACGATTTCCGGTCATCAGGATGCCTAGTTCTTTGCCAAAGGGTCCTAGAGCAACGTTTGCTATGGATTAGGTCCAATAGATCTTGAGGTAAAGGATTTATGTTATGGTATTTTTTGGGACGATCAGGTGAGGATGCAGTCCAAGCTGCTTGCTGGATCAGGGTAGTGAAGGAATGCACTGCATCGTCGAGGTCTTCAGGTGTTTTTAAGGAAACTCTGAGGTCAATATTATCTTCCAGTATTTGACGGAAAAGGTTCCAGTTAACTGGCCCCCTGATAAATGAAGGTGGGGATGATTTGGGAATGGGAGATGTGGAAACGGTTAGGACTAGAGGACTATGGTCTGAGGAAAGATCATCAAACCTTGAAATAGAACAGTGTAGTGATCCTAGACCTTTGTGGAGGAAAAAGTCTAGAAGGTCGGGATTGCGGTTGGGATCTGTTGGCCAGTATGTGGGTGTATTAGGTGAAAGGATGTTGCTGCGATGGGAATTAAGTGCAGATAGCAATGTTCGGCCTCGGGAATTTGTGGATCTGGCTCCCCATTGCTGGTGTTTTGCATTTAGATCTGCACCTAGGAGGAAGTGGTGTCCTAAGGAATTCAGGAAGGAAATTATTTGGGATTCGGAAATGGGTGTTTTAGGTGGGGAATATGCCGCAACTAGTGTTATTGGGTAAAGGGGTGTTTGGATTATTACGGCTGTGGATTGTATGAAATTATGGCTTGGTAAGGGAAACAAATGATGGGAAACGGATCGATGGATAATTATGGCAGTGCCACCATGTGCTGTTCCATCAGGATGGTCGGTTCGATAAATATTGTAGCCGGGCACGTTGATTTATCGTTTGTTGGTTAGTCGAGTTTCAGTTATTAGTGCTATGTCGATGTTTTTGTCATGTAATAAGATTGTCAGTTCGTTGATGTGGTTCCGAATACCATTCGCATTCCAGAGGAGAATGGAGAGGAATTTGGTTGAGGACATTTATGGATTTCTTGGCAGTGGAATGAGGTTGGATATAACATTGGTAAGTAGCGAAATAAGGGGGGTAATGAGAGATCTAAATTCGGAAAGGAAAGATGTCAATAGGCTTGTGAGGTCAGTGGAATTGGAAGGAGGAGGAATGAATGTGTGAGTATTTAACCTACGTTCAGGGATGGAGGGATATGGGTCTTGAGGTTGATGTGTGAATTCTTGAGGTTTAGATTCTTGTGGCAGGGCCTGAGATTGAGTGTTTACAGTGTCTCCTTTGAACATCTGAGCATAGGACACTCTTCCGTTCACTGTTCTATAGGGTTGTCTTGGTGGCCTGGATGTCCCTTCTTCTCTAGGCGTTGCGTACATTCGTGTTTTCAAATCTTTGTAAGTTTGACAACCCTTGTAGTTGGCTGGGTGTCCTTGGTGGCATAAAGCGCATACTGCAGGTGAAGTTCTAGATTTCCTACAGTCCTCTGTTTTGTGTTGCTCACCACACCTCACACATCTAGGAATGTGATGACAATACCGTTTCGTATGGCCATAAGCCTGGCAGTTATGGCATTGAACGATGTCGCGCTTGCTGTAGGGCTTTTCTACAACAACGCTTGTATAATAAAGGCGTGTGACCTTGTAGATGTTTTCGACATCAGGTGTTCGGTCAAGGTCAACGAAGAATAGTGGAAGAGGTATTTTATTTTTTATTCCAGGCTGTTCTCTATCCTCCTTAAATATGTTCACTATCTGGCGAACATGGAATCCCATACCCGTGAGCTCTTCTTTTATAGCATCTGTTGGCGTAGATGGGTGCAGGCTTCTGATAACGACCCTGAGCGCCCTCTCTTGACGCAGTTGATAAGTGTGGTAATCAGCCTTGGTTTCAGATAAATATTTTATGATTTTTCTATAGGTTTCTGGAGTGTCGGGCATTAACTTAGTGTCATTGGTGCGGCTTTGGCATAAAAATTTTCCTGAACCTACCAGATTATTCAATTGATTACACATCAATTGAAAATTTTTAATATTTCTAACAAATATTGGTGGGGGTTTGGGTTCTCTGGGGATGGATGCTGCTTCCATTTGTTCGTTGTTTATATTTGAAAGCACTTCAAATGGATTCGAAGTGAAAAACGGCGATTCTTCACCCATAGCTTGAGTTGTCTCATAATTATTGGGTTGTTGTGAGGAGCCAGGTTGGGGTTCCACTTCTTCTATGGAGCTCCCTGGTGTGGCTGGTGGAGTGTTTCTTTTCGAATGCCTTGTCTTTTTTTTAATGGGAGAACTAATTGTAGTATCCAGGCTCCTGGACCTAGTGTTTTTGCCCTTACTCGACATTAGCATGTGATAATATCGCATTTCATATTTATTTTTGAAAGAAAAATTAATAAAAGTGAAGAGAGGAAAAAAAAAAAAATTTTATTGAACACGAAAATATAGACGCGCTCTTGGAGAGCACAGATCTGCCTCCGACGGAGGGATCTAGCCCACTGGTATTAACGACTGTTGCAGCTTATGGCTGGCCGTTATCTAACTAACCTAAGGTCTATTTACACTGTTCACTCTTGTGTTGTAAATAAGTGATTACTCACCTTATTTTTTTTGTCCAGTATCAAACGTAATTGTTAATGTAACTGATAACACTAATTGTTCACATTAAACTTGTATACTGCCACTGATAAATGAGATTTTTATAAGAGACGACCTGACATATGTTTAACTAGGGCTAACGCATGCGCAGAACTGAAAGGTAAAAAAGTAAATGTAAAAATAAATACCACTAAAAAGAAGAATGGTGTTCACCAAATCATTTTTGAGGAATTCAGTATTGTTCATAAATATATTACTTTCAGCCAAGAAATCATATACATCTGGAAAAGAAAATGAAAGATTTTAAAAATACTATAGTATAATTTTGATTAAAAATACTAATAATATTGAATTTTGTCAATTAGGCATTAAAGCATTATGTAACAAACCTAAATGTCTATGTTTTAAGCATTCAATGCTTGCATTAATTCAAACTCTGAAGGATGACAATAAATTGGATGAACACTGTTTCAAAAGAAAATTTCATGTTCCTTGATATAAGATTTGACTCACCAGAACACAGGAATTTTATGGAAATGGGCTGCTATCATATCCAGTATGATAACATTTTTCATGATATCATCTCTTCTTGTATTATTTATACTGAGATCTTAACCCAAAGGATTATTATTACTTCTAATTAATTACTCATTTTCTTTGCTTACAAAGACATGCTTTCAATTGCTTCCCCATCAATTGAGAGATCATAAATCTATCTTTAGTTTAAATGTTGACTTATTATTATATAGATATCTTTTATTTTTCATCTTTGTTTTAGCAGTTTTGACAGTGGATCCACCTTAGGTTCGGGAGACCTTCCTGGGGCACACCCTATAAAGTGGGTACTCATAATTAATTAAGGGACAAAACCTGGCAGTTGAGCGTGATCTCGCCAAAATCATCTCCCTGTACAACCACTGGCCTTGTAACAGTACTTCCTCACATAGTACTAAACTTAACATCTGCCTCATTTGTTTGCAGTTAGTATCGGCCTGTTATCTCATCCATGTTTTTTTGTTGAGAGATCTAATCTCCCCATGCAATTTCATTAATAACTGGGCTATGGGCTATTCTGCATTATTACTTTTTGTGCGAAAATTTAATATATAAAATTCAAATATGTTTGGAAAACGGTTATATAACTTTTCCAAACCTACACACTGTTTTAAGATTTTAGCGAGATCTCCGCAACGCCATTTTGTTATATGTCCACATAAAGAAGGAATTAGAAAATAAGTGGAAGGTAAATGCGGTTTTAGTTTCCATAATAGGCCACTATCAAATGCTTTTTTTATGTTGAGAAAGACAGCAGTACAATATTACTTTTTCTCAAAAGTAACAGAGATAGCGTCTACTATCTGATGGCACTGTTGCACAATAGAGTGATAAGACCGAAAGCCAAACTGGTGATTTGGTATCACTTCAATACTTACTAGGATAGACTTTAGATGGTTCAGGAGCAGTTTTTCAAAAATGATTCCTTTATAGGGAGAAGTACTATAGGACAATAGGATGAAGGAGTAGTGGGAGGTTTTGAAGGTTTAGGAATCACCGCAGCTGCCAACCTTAAAAAAGATGGTGCGAGAGGAAGAAACTGCGGAGGGCAGCTGCTAAAACACAGGCCTTCCTCTTGAGAGGTAGGACTGATAGGGCTAAACTTATTACAATGATTATCCAAGGATCAAGAATACGTCTGAGTGAGGTTGTCACCTACCTCAGTCAGAATTGGAATAAATTTCAATGTAACACCTCACTTGGACTATTTGAGAAGTAGGGTGATCCTAGCGCTCAATGGACTCAGTCGTATCGGGGGTGCCTTTTGGGGCCTCAGATACCCAGCAACTAAGACCGTTTATAAAGGTATAGTTCTGGGTATTCTGAGGTATGCGTCCCCAGGTTGGTTTCTGAATCTTTTGCATCACCAAAAGAGCAGGTTGGCTTAAATTTAATGGATGGCTCTGCTTATAGGAGAGCCATAGGACTCACCAGAGCTTATAGGACAGTATCTCATCCGCAAGAAACTTCATAAATAGTTTCATCTCATTGCAACCTACAACTATTTTGTTTACAAAAACTCTTGTAATTGGGGCCTTTTCAATCAGGAGAGGGACCAATTTAGTCTATTTAATTAGGTACTAAAAACTTGTAAATACCCATTTGCATTCTTTTTGGATTGTAAGATAATTTGATCACAAAATCGATAAAAAAGGTAGTCTACAAAAATATTGTCCCGTTTGCCTTATATAACCTCGTTATTTAGAAAATTTGGAGGTGTAGGTCAGGCCAAACTGCTCAATATTTTTGAAGGCCACCTTTTTTCTTGATTTTGTTATCAAATTATCTAACAATACAAGTAGAAAGCAAATGGGTATTTACGAGTTCTAAGTACCTAATTAATTATTATCTTAATTATATTATATTATTAATTATATTATATTATCTTAATTATATTAATTAATTATAAGTACCTAAATAATTATTATCTTGCCTACAGTTCTTTATGGATGCGAAACTTGGCCGCTTACATTAAGGGATGAGCAGCGTCTTAAGGTTTTTGAAAATAAAGTATTGCGTAGAATATTCGGATTAAAGCCGATCTGAAGGGACTGGGTCTGGACGGCGAACGGTGGAGGGAGGTGTGTAATAAGCGATTTGTGGTGTCGGCATCGAACCTTCGGGTTCGCTAAGCCTTTTTATTATTATTATTTAAGTACTTAATTAAATAGACAAAGTTTGCCCCCCCTCCAGATTGAAAATGCCCCAATTCCAAGAGTTTTCATAAATAAAATAGTTGTAGGTTATGATGAGATGAAACTATTTACGATGTTTCAGGAGGATGTTAATAATTCGAAAAAAAGGGGTCTGTATCACGGACTAATACAGACACCAACCAAATTTGATTTTTGATGAAACGTAAAAGGCGAGTGGAAATTTTCGATTCTGAGCATAAAAATTTTTTTAACCCCCGGGATGAATACAAAACTTCCCTTCCTTCGGTAGCAAAGAATTATTGAAGAAAGTTAGTCGACTGTTCTACATATCATGAGTGATAAATATTCAGGATGCAGTCATTATCAAGTTTTTATTGGTGATGACGTTTCAACCCAAGCACGTCCAGATGATGACCCACATGTTTGAATTGAAATTTCGGCACCAATAAAACCTTCATAATGACTGGGTCTTGAAGATTTATCATCCATTTTATATAAGATATAATATTAACCCCCTAATACCTTTAATTTATTTATTCTACTCCTCTGATTGGAAAATATATCCTGAATTACAACTCACGAGTATGGTCACTATGACTATAATATACCACTGTTACTCTTTAAAAATCCATAAGTAAAATGTTTTAAACTGGAAGAGCTCCTAATAAAGTTAATAAAGTATGTTGGGTATTGGTCCTATGGAGAAATGAACTGTTAAAACCTCAGATCCTGGAGCAGGCCACATACAACAGAAGCATCTTAAGCTACTTACTTCTGTAAGAAATAAAAAGATATAGTAAAATTAAATGTCTAAAGGTTCACATATAGCTAGTCTCCCTCAGGTACTCAAGGCTTATCTATTGAACAACTGAGTCAGACTATAAGGAAGGCTGTAACTGTTGGATAAAAGACTCCTAATTGATTTTAGGCCTATTCTTATCTATTTACCAGCAGAACAACCAAATAAAGCTGCCTCCCGACTATCTTTTTCCAGTCATTCTGGTCAGCTTGTCTGACATTCCTGTCATCCGCAGTTCTTCTGCAATGAGTCCTTACATCTTCACTTTGGTCTTCGACAAGGTCTGATTCCACCTGGATTTTTTAGTACAATATTTTGACTGCTCTCCCATCATCCATCCTAATTAATTACCTTAATGAACATTTGCCATTAATATCAAATGATCAATTGATAAGTTGAACTTACACAAAATGGAAGCTCAAAGATCATCATGTTGTAGATCTCTATGATTTCCTCAAATACTATGATCCCTCTTATTGGACCTATTAATATGATTTCTTATTTAATAAAATAAATATGAAATAAAATTTTAGAATACAACTTACTTCCTAGAAAAAATGTGCCCTCGTGTTTAGTCATTCCTATCATTGTAGGTATGTGTTGAAAGTCTCCTTTTTTATAGCTATCTTTAGGATGTTCCACTAGAAATTTTTTTGAACCTGCAGTTTGAACAACTGCATGATTCCCACCCAGTTTGCCATTCACCACCATTCTGTCTTGTACAATCACACTTCTCTAAAATATAGACAGAAAAACCTGATATTAGTGAAAAAATATAAACAAGTGGTATAATAAAAAAAATCTTAATAAATAAAAATATATACAGACATTTCTGACGAAAAAATTGGAGTTATGAAATTAAATTATGGAAAATTAAAAAATACAATAATTAAAAGTAAGGTAAATTGTTCATTCAAAGGAGCTTGTAAAAAGGAAAGAAGAAAAATGTAACTTCACTGCTAAGCTGGTTAATAGACATCGGGCAATTCAAAGGAAAAAGAGTAGAATACACAGTTAATTTTTTTTTTTATAAACATTATTCAATTAGTGTCAATCAATATCTACAATATTAGTAATAAAAAGTCATTATTATTATTTTCTTATTTTTGCAATTTCATTTTATTAGTAGTTTTTAAACTTAGCACTTATTCCTCTAGCCTTTTAACAGTATTGTTTGTAAGTAAAAACCTATCTAAAAGAAAATTAATAATTTTGTTTAAATATATACATAACATTAATCAACAATAATAATTAATAATTTATATATATATATATATATATATATATATATATATATATATATATATACATATATATACATATTATACATATGCATATATATAATTAATAATTTTAAATGACTAAAGTTTCCAAATGGGCAGGCAGAGCTAATGTGTCTGAATTGGCATAGGGTTTGTAATGGGCCAGCCCTCAGGGCCACTATGAACTCTAGACGAGTACAGACAGAGTGGCTGAATCTGTATATGGTTTCTAAATACCCCAGTTACTTTCCGCCTGCCCAAGCACATAGTTCTCCCCTCCATCTGTATTTCTCTGCTGCACTGTCCATTTCTAGAAAGTAGTTTCTGATGTCCCTATTTTCGTGCTACTATTTAAACCCATCTACTATATTGACCCTCAGTCTAACTCTAGCAGGCGCCGAGTAAAGACACTATAACCTCTGCTTTAATTGTTTTCTTTTATTTTAACTTATATTAGTTTCTAGATAGTATTATACAAAAATACTTTCCTTCTGATAATGACCTACTCCAGAGAGTTATGGACCCTCACCACAAAGCACATCAGACAGATTCAGGCCATGGAGATGCGATTCTTGCGCAGGGTCGAAGGAAAAACAAAGAGAGATCGCATAAGAAACTCCATAATAAGGAAAAATCTGAACGTAAGATCAGCTGAAACTGTGATGGAGGAAAATCGTTTGAGATGGTTTGGTCATGTCTCTCGAATGCCAGAGAATCGAATGGCCAGGATAGCGTTGGAAAGTAGAGTGGAGGGAAGAAGACCGCAGGGAAGGCCCAGGAAGACCTGGGAGGCTACTGTCAAGGACGCCTTTGACAGAAGGGATATTGACTGGAGGAGTTTTCGGTAACAATTTTTCAAGTAAGAATGCCCTTTTGAGCATGGAGCATGGAACACAAAGAAGAAACGTCTAGTACTTCAAAAAAAATATGAACAATTTAATTCAGCTCCAAAAAGAAAAAGAGGTGAGTCAACTTTATATAATATTCCTACTCAAATTTGCTACTCGCTTTTCTCCAATGAGGAAGAAAATGAAGAGATCTTTGTCCCAACTAGTAAAAATCCTAACTTACAAGAATTTCCCCCAAAATTAGTTAATTCCTCATTTTCAAATAACAAGGAAATAATTACAAAACTTAAAAATTCAGCAAAAGATATAAATATCAAACACGGTGGAAATAAAACTATTTTTTATGTATATAATAATGAAGATTTCATTGATGTAAAAAATGAACTTAAATTACTCAATTATTATAACTTTCATACCTATACTCCTAAACATGAGATTAAGCCTAAGGTGGTATTAAAAGGCATGCCCCCGAACTATCCTATCGAAGACATTCAGGCCGACCTAAATTAACAAGGCTCAGAAATCTACAAAATGTTTCAGATGATTAAAAAATCTGACGGTGTTGAAAAGAAATTACCATTATCAATAGTTATACTAAATAATAAAGAGCAATTGGTTAAACTTAATCGTATAAAATACTGCAACAATGTTGTTATTTCATGGGAAAAATACGTGAGTAAAAAAGTTTTGACACAATGCTAATTATGTCAAGAATATAATCACGTAGCTGCTTCAAACAACTTATTCCACATGACATTAATTGAATTTTGTGCTACATAGTCAGACCTAGTTGCCTACAAAAGGCAACACTAGGAAACAATTATCAAGCCTCATGTCATTTGGTGTTGCCTCAGTGGCATTGCATCTTCAGTCAGTTCCACTTCCTTTCCTATAAGTGATGGTATGTTCTATGTGCCTAAACTTAAGTCCTTTTCCTTGCCAAGACATTGCTATAATCGATTCTTAAATAATTCAACCATATAGGCCACATATTCTCAGGACAACTGGTCCTCCATTTATTTATATCATTGGAAGGAAGCGTATCTAGACTATACAGAATTGTATACTTTTTCCACTCACAATTATAAAACTGGGTCCTGTTTGCCCACAGATCCTTATGAAATTTATTCATACTGCTTCTACTAGAAGGGGTTCCCTCAATCCACAACCCAGAGGGATACACTCCATAGCTAGCAGGTAATAATAATAAAAAGGCTTAGCGAACCCGAAGGTTCGATGGCGACACCACCAATCGCTTATTACACACCTCCCTCCACCGTTCGCCGTCCAAACCCAGTCCCTTCAGATCAGCTTTAATGCAATCTTCCCACCTTCGCTTCGGTCTACCCCTCAGACGCTTACCATTCGGCACAGCAAATATTAACCTTTTAGGAATTCTCTCGTTACTAAGTCCAACAACTTTACAAGCCCATTTGATTCGCCGCGATGAAATTATCTCAATTATATTACTCGGATACAGTTCACGCAATTCGGCGTTGTGTAACCGTCTGAACTCTCCGGTTAACTCATCCTTCTTCGGTTCGAATATTCTACGTAATACCTTATTTTCAAAAACCTTAAGACGCTGCTCATCCCTTAATGTAAGCGGCCAAGTTTCACACCCATAAAGAACTGTAGGCAAGATAATTGTTTTATAGATTCTAATTTTTAAGTTTCAGGACAAAAGGCGCGAACTAAGTAGTTTTGTCACAGAAAAATAACAAGCATTTCCCGCCTTCAGTCTAACCTTAATTTCTTCTTCAATTTCGTTTTTTCTAGTTATCGTAGAACCTAGATACCTAAACTTATCTACCTGCTCAAACATATTACCATCTATATCGATATCACCAGTAGTATCGCCATTTTTGCAGCTAACCATATATTTTGTTTTATCCACGTTTATTTCGAGTCCTAGTTCTTTACCGGCTTTCATTAACGTTGTCGTATTTAGTTTTATAGTTTCAAGGTCTTCGCTTAACAGTACCAGATCATCAGCATAGCCCAGCACAGATGTTGTCCCACCCAGATCCAACCCTTTCGCATTAACTCCCTAATGGCATGTTCTAATGCCAAATTGAACAGTACAGGCGAAAGGGAATTCCCCTGTTTTAAACCCAAACGAACCTCAAATTTTTCGGACAGATTATTAGCGATTCTAACTTTATTGAGTGTCTCCGTCAAGCACATCCTGACTAGATTTACTAATTTTTTAGGAATCCCCAGCTCGATTAGAATATTATACAGTTTCTGGCGGTCAATAGAATCGTAAGCCTTTTTAAAATCTATATACAGCTGGTGAACAATACCGTTGTACTCCAATTTTTTCTCTAATATTTGCTGTAAAGAAAATATTTGATCAATAGCCGAACGATTCCGTCTAAATCCGCATTGGTAGTCTCCGATAATTTCCTCGGCGTATTCCGTGATTCAACTGGTTAAGATTAAAGTAAATATTTTATAACATACCGGAAGGAGTGAAATTCCTCGATAGTTATTACAATCCGTTCTCGGACCCTTTTTGTGAATCGGAATAAGAATAGATTCTTTCCATTCTTCAGGTAATTTCTCATTCACCTAGATTTTTTTTAACCAATCGATGTATTTTAGAAACTCCAGCTTCCCCGCATGCCTTAATTAGTTCAGTAGAAATATTGTCGGTTCCCGCTGCTTTATAAGATTTTAATTTTCCGATAGCTAATTCAACTTCCTCTTTACTCGGTCCTTCTATCAACGGTTCAGCACTCTGGTACTCAGAAGGAAGACACAGATCATAATTTCCCGTATTTAAAATATTGTCAAAGTGGTCCTTAAATTTATTCAATATGTCAACCGGATCGGTCAGAATATTGTTATTATCATCCCTAATTCCAGATGTTACGGACCCCACACATTTACGTGATCTGTTTATACCTTTGTACATATCTCTTACGTTATTTTCAATTTTATTAGTTTCTATTTCAATTATTTTATTTTTAAGATACTCCCTTTTTTTATTTTTGAGCAATTTTGTCGTTTCGTTCTTTGAGGTTTGGAAGTATTCCAGATTGTCTTCACTATGATTATTTAGAGCTTTTAATTTAGCGGCTTTTCGTTTTTCGCACATGTTTAAGCAATCTTCATCAAACCACGGTTTGTTATTCTTATTTTCCTTTTTTCCTAGACACGAATTACCGACCGCTTTAATATTATCCCTGATCTCTACCCATAACTTGTCAATATCCTCGTGGTCCTCGTCAGGAAGCTCTAAAGCTTCAAACCTATTCTTAACATCTAGCTCGAATTGGGTTCTAATTGATGGATTTTTTAATTTGTCCAAATTAAAATTCTCAAAATCAAAACGGTTTTCTTTTCTCTTTTTTATATTAAGTTTTTGTCGAAGTTTCGCGATTACTAATTCATGATCCGACCCACATTCTGCTCCGCGATAAGACCGTACATTGATTATACTGCTTTGCCAGCTGTGTTGTATGAAGACATGATCGATTTGATTTCGTGTTTGCGAATCCGGTGATGTCCAAGTATATTTATGAATATCCTTATGTTTAAACGTCGTACTTTTAATTATCAGGATTTTCGAGATGGCAAAGTTTATCAGACAGATCCCATTATCATTACTATATTCGTGCAAACTTTCTTTACCAATCGTCGGAATATAAACTTCTTCCCTTCCTACCTTTGTGTTCGCATCACCTATAATTATTTTCATGTAGTTTCGCGGTAGTTTATCATAAACCCATTCGAGTTTATCATAAAATTCACTTTTGACTTCATCGTCACTGTCTTCGGTCGGACAATGTATGTTTATTAATGCGATTTTAAACCAACGTCTCTGAAATGTGGCTACCGAAATTCTATCACTAAAGAATTGTACGTCCCTCAAAGCGGATAGTAATCTACTCCTAATTAGAAACCCAGTACCCAAACAGTGATTCCCGCTTCCTCCGTACCAAATAGTGTACTTTCCTTCCCTCATCGAGCCCTCCCCTGGCCAGCGAACCTCTTGCAGAGCCACGAGATCCAAATTGTACCCATTCACCTCATTCGCGACCGATTTTAGCCCCCCTGCTGCGTTTAAACTCCTTACGTTCCACGTACCAATATTTAAATCCCTATATTTCAACTTGCGCCATGAATCCCCTAAAGCAGTCCCCACCCGGAGACCCGAACGGGGGACTAGTTTACTTCCGGATAATGAGCGTTTTACCTTAGGGAGATCCATAACTATTTGTGGTGTTTGGTGAACTAAAGATATGTGAGTAGGGCGTTCAATCCTACGTCACACCCTCCAGCAAGTCTGGTGGGCCCCTACCTCCAGCAAGTCTGGAGGGCCCCTCTCATTGTTGGTCAGCGAGTCCATCGGACTTAGCCGGGAGGAACTTCCAAGGAATTTTCACCGACCATCCCCACATCCGCCACCCGTGGGACGCTCCCCATACGCGGTAATGAGCCCGCGCGAGGATAGCAAGCAAGTACTTAATATAAATGTTACAAATAATTAATATTAAAAAAAAACACAAGATTCCTACAATAATTATACATTTGCATGTTTTACTTCTTTGAATGTAAATTCTCTAATATTTTTTAGCTCCAACTAGCTGTTGATAGTTCCTTACTCTCCACGAACTTTTCAGTTTTCAATGGAGTTAAAAAACTTAAATACAATATTCAAAACTGAAGAATAATAAATTTTGATAGTTACAAGATATTTTTGGTGAGCTTGAAGAATATCATAAGCAGTTAGATTGCGGAGGCAAGTAGCCAATTCTTGATCAGTTCCAGTACAATTAGCAAATTTTGAAATGCCTCTAGCTGTTGTCACAGGGTTTAAGTCTACAGCCCAATCACAAAATGCTGACCCACTCTGTATTATACCATGCTGAAAAAGATCTGAAAGAAATTTAAATGTATTACCAAACATCATGTTTTCACAAAAAAAAAAAAATAACATATTTTTGAATTGGAATATCATCCATTAAAAATATTTCTGAACGAACAGGATTTACAAATGATATTTCTAATGAAATATTGAAACAAATCACAGAGCCCAGACTATCTTAATGTATTGCTGTTGTCTAAGATAAACATGTAAAATGATAGACCACAGTCACTGTTTACCAACCCCATTACATGCTACTCTACTTGAAAACACAATCACAAACTACATCCTGTGCATAAACTTAACTAATTACACATTGAAATTCTACTTCTATCAAAATAAATATGATGCGTAATTTATAAAATATAAATTAAATCCATACATCACATTCATCATTTGTAGGATGTGAATAATACCATTAATCCCTGGGTAACAGGGATTAATGAGCATCTGAATACAGAGAAAACAAAGATTTTTTCCAAGCCACATACTTTTATTCCACATTAATATTTTAAATTTAAAATTACTGCATCTCACAACTCCTCACAGGATGTAGAAACTTCTATATTACATATAGATAAACAGTTTTATTTGTTATGTCAATAGGTACTTAATTTAATGTTTTCTTTTTACTCTTATTTTATTTAATGTAACAAGCCTTTTGGTCAGAACTATTCTATTTTCTACTATTTGTTATTGTTATAGGTAAACTTTCAAATATATTTTTATAAAAGTGCATGAAAATGGCACATATCCTTTTATTTATCATACATATTCCGTGGTACAGACCCCTTTTTATCAAGTTATTAACATCCACCTGAAACTTTATAAATAGCTTCATCTCATCGTAACCTACCAGCATTTTATTTATGAAATTCTCAGAATTTGGGCGTTTTTAATCTAGAGATCACCAAACTTTTTCTATTTAATTAGGCATGAAAAACTCGTAAATATCCATTTGCTTACAACTTAAATTGTAAAAATGATAATATGAGAACAAAGTCGTGAGAAAAGGTAGCCTTAAAAATATTGAGCCATTTTATGTGAACTACACCCCCAAATTGCCAAAATAAGGAGTTTATTTAGGCCAAATGGCCCAATATTTTTGTAGGCCACCTTTTTTTTCCTTTTTTTTAATCAATTTATCTTGCAATCGAAATGGAAAGCATATGGGTATTTACGAGTTTTTAGTTTAAATAGACAAAGTTGGCCAAAATCCAGATTGAAAATGCCCCAATTCCAGTTTTAGTAAGTAAAAGTAAATAAAATAGTTGTAGGTTACGATGAGATGAAGCTATTTACGAAGTTTCAGGCATATGTTAATAATTTGATAAAAAGGGGTCTGTACCATAGACTAATATAGTTACATTAAGTAAACAATTTTCTCATTTCAATGTTCATAAGTACTTGATGTTATGAAGTTATATATATTGACACTTTAATTTTGATATGTAATATTTACATTACAATAAATACATATGAAGCAGGGAGGAGTATATCTTTATGAGAAGGTTTGCAAAAAAGGTATGTTGGTAGAAGAAGAGAAGTTATTAAATAAAAAAGTTCATTTGTGTTCAGAGAAGACTTTAAGTAAATACCAATGAGGTTTCAGATTAGGTAAATCAACTATAGACTGCATTTTTTCAATAAGGCAAATGTTAGAAAAAACATGCAAGTAACAAATAGAGTTACATCAGTTTTTTAGATTTTAAACAGGCATATGACAGTATAAACAGCATACGACAGTATAAACAGCATATGACAGTAAAAAGAATTACTGAAGAAAATAATAAAATTAGAGTTCCTAAAAAAACTGGTCACTTTGATAAGAATGACCCTAAACGGTAGCAGATCCTAAGTTAAGATGAATGGCATGTTGTCAGAGGATTTCGAGGTGAGATGGGCTTAAGCAAGGCGATATTTTACCCCCTAATCTATTCAATATTGCCTTAAAATATGCAATGAGTGCAATCCGGTTGTGTCCTGGTGGCACTATTTATAATAGGATGACAAAGCATCTACCTTATGCTGATGATATAATAATGGGAAGAAATAAAACAGCATTAGCAGGGCACTTAAAGAATTTGAAACTGCAGCAAAACAACTAGGGCTACAAATAAATGAGAAGACTGTTTACAAGTAAACTTCAAGACCGCCAAGCGGAACAAAGGAATGTGTTGCATTAGGTAATCACACCCTGAAAGTGGTAAAAACGCTTAAGTATTTAGGTGTTCTATTTACAGAAAGTAATGATATGACGGAAGAACTGAAAACAAGAATAGCTGTTGGGAAAGTTAGCTGTTTTGCCATGAAAAAGTTGCTTAATTATAACTCCCTCTCTCCTAGAACAAATATCACAGTGTACGAGAAAGTCATAATACCCGTCGTTCCTTATGGATTTAAAACTTGGGTAATCTTTAAGGCCTCAGAAAAGAAGCTACTCACATGGGAGAGAAGGGTTCTCAGCAGGATCTACAGTTCAGTGTGTGAGGATGGGCAGTGGAGAATTCGCACTAATAAAGAGCAGCCTGAGATCTATGCAAGTTCAGATTTGGTCTCAATTGTAAGAAGTAATCAAATCAAATGATTGGGCCCTGTGGCATATATGCCCCCCAGAGATTCTATTACGAAATGCCTGCTGGATGATAGACCTGGTGGAAAAATGTGGCAGAGAAAGACCTGAAAGGCCTGAGATGGTTGGAAAAGGTGGAGGACATATTGAAAAGGATGGGAATTCAGAAATGGAGAATGCTCACTTCTAGATAGAGAAGAGTGGAGAAGAATAACAAGAGAGTATAACTTTTACCGAAACCTTACTCAAACCAAATATCCTTCTGCCTCTATCCATTTCAAATTATACCTCCATTGGCCATAATCAAAAGAATTGAACTCATAAAGGTGTTGTGGGTTAATAATAATTACTGTTATTTTGTTTATTTATAGAATTTCTCTTCAAAACTCCATTTTTCCAACAGCTGAGAAAAACTCATAGTTCATCTATTGAATAAAACCACTGTTCCCTCCATAGCCTCGAGCAAAAAAACCAAAAAAAAAACCCTTACTTCTCTCCAGTTTAGTTTCACATCTCTCTATCATATTCCACTACACTCCTAATATTCCAGCATTGTTGAAAATTGCCCATGATATTCAATTCTCTATAGAAAAACAGAAAATTCCTATTCTGGTTCTTATTGATTTTTCAAAAGCCTTTAATTCTATTGATTATGAGATCTTCCTTTTCAAACTTCAAAATTCTCTATATCAAACAGCGTTTTAAAAGTTGTTCTATTCATTCTTGTCTCATTGATTACAAAAAAATCATTCAACATAAACGTTCTTACTCCCCTTCTACTTTTTTTTTTTGTCTTCCTCTTTCTTCCCTTTTAGGCTATAGAGGGTTTTCTTTGACTAGGGTATGAGGGCAGGGGATTAATGCCAAAGCCACCAGCACCAGGAATCGAACTCGTAATTATTTTATCAAATTATCTTCCACCAGATTGTTGGGCAACGCAATGCTGTGTACACAAGTTAGATCATTCGGCTGACTGCCTAATGAATGCTTCTCCTCTTTAAAGAAAACCCAAACCCTTGCATTCAGTAATTTTGTTAAGTTGTCTAATGAATCATAGAGTGTCTGTCTTAAGACAGGTCCATGTAAAGGAGTTTATTCTGATAACGGGCATTTGAAAGAGAAATTATAAGGATCAGTTTTATTTCTTTTGCATTATTTTCACTACATTCTATCATGGCATAGTAAAAATCTTTCAAGCTATTTCTTAAGAGGTCTTTATGAAAACACATTTTTTTATAAACGAAAAACTTCAAAGCTGCCATTTACTGATCACCAAGGGCCTCTTAAAACAATAATTTGTCCTGGTGAAATTTCAGAACCAGGATGGTGAACTAATGGTTTGATCTGGCACCTCTACAAGGGATGAAAGTGTAGATTTCCTTCTATTGACTATGAGAATGGATTTAAATTTGCTTTAGGTTTCCAAGCTAAAGCAAATATTTTTAAATTATTGAAAACTATTAAAAAATGAACTTTTTCTGAAAAGGTTGCTACTGGTTTGGCATTGTGTTCTTTAAACTGTCAGAAATTTAGTGTTTTCATGAAAATTATAAACAAATCTCTGAAAATCAAATTTAATTATAACAAAATTAAATAAAATACAATGTTTAACTAAAAATCATGCATTAATAATTAATCATTAAAGGTACTTTGGAATAATACTTTTCCCCTTAGTAAGTGGACTAGCCATGAGAAGGGAGACGGCAGCACCTCCAGAACTCTGTCCGAATATTGTGACTTTATTAGAGTTACCACAGAATGAAGAAATGTGTTTTTGGACCCATTCCAATGCTAATACCATATCAAGAAGACCCATGTTTCCAGATATGTCATCATTTTGGAATGACAAAAAACCTGCACCAATACAGAAGAATTTGTACAAAAAAAAAAAAAGAATATATGTGAATACATTTAATAAACATAAGTGAAATAAACTTTAATATTTGTTTAACATTAATAAAATTTGCTCTAAAATTGAAAAATATTTATTCAGATATTATATAACTGTAGTGAAAAAAAAAATCAAATGTTCAAAAAGTTAAAATTTATTAAAAAGCAAAACAAGTTTACTGAACTGTGAATGACTACTTAGAGATTGTTTGAGTAATATTTCTACGTATAATAAATATTTTCTACATCTCTTCAGTTTCGTGATTACCCAGTGGGCCCAATCGGTACTGAGTTACAACAAGGACAACATCCTGCTCAAGAAGATAATTTGGCCTGAAACTATGTGCCGAACCGATAAGGAATGAACCTCCATGAATAAAAAACATCACAGGCACCAGCTCACTGCAATTTCCAGGAAACTGGAACAAAGGTCATGGGAAATTTGAATCTTTTGAAGTTTTTTGTGTTTATTTGAAGTTTATATACACCTTACAAGTATAAAACAATGCATATATGTATTTTGATTGAATTACATCATGGTTACAGTAATAAATATCATAAACTAAACTTATATCAATGTGGCATTCTAAATCAAGTAAATAATTATTTTGAAAATGTAAATAAAACCGTTATTTATACACAGAAACAAATATTAACTTCAGAGTCCAGAAATGATTAGAGTTACACTAATGTATTTAGTTATATTGACCATCTACTGTTTATAGGCTAACTCTTATTTAATAACTTAGTCAAAACAAATCTAATTCCACAGAAGCTTTAAAATTTCAATGATAAATTAAACGTGAAAGACATATAGATAAGGTATGGAAAGTGAAGCTAATACCATCCTCATCCTGTTGAAATAAGAATCCAATTTATTAATTTAAAATTGTTTTAAATTTATTTAATGAAATTTACAACTGTATAAAAGTACAACCAGTAAATATGCGCACATTAGAAATAATGATATGAACAGGCTGTTTTTGTCTCTATTTAATTCTAGGTAAGATCATGAGGCCATCTTCTTTTTAGATGGCTAGGAGAATCATCAGGAATCGAGGAAGATGACTCAATACAAGTTGGTCACAAAGAAGTGGATTCGGAAGAGACTGGAGTTTATCATGAAAGGATAGGTATCTGGCTCGAGCTAAATCAGCGACATATGGAACATTAAGATATTTATGAATGGTTTTATTTGTGACAAAATATGGGAATTTACTTAAGGAATTTACAAAGGATTTTGGATTGTAAGGATTGGATACAATAGGAATTCGATAGTTGGGTATTGCCCAATTTAAAATTTAAAAGAAGTGATCAAAGAAGTCACTTTTTCAATAATTTAATATTGGGTTAGCCTTCTTTAATTGAGAAAATATTGAAGAACAGCAATATATACATATATAAAAAAAGGTATTTTATTAAATATCATTCTGAATAAAAAGAACGCAAAATCATAATTTTGTGAAATAAAAACAATAATTTAGCAATATTATGCTTTATGTTCAGTATAAGCAATTATTTTCAATTTTTGTACCTGGAAAGGCATATGAACAGAACATATACTGCAAGGAGTGTATTATGGAGTAATAAATATAAAGATAGGACTGACCTGATTTGTGTACACATTTAAATAAAGGCAATCTTCAATGTTATCATCTTCTTGCTTTTTAATCTCCTTTCCAAATGTTTGTGGACACTGCCTTCTAAAATGAGTTGCATTGAGGATTCCTGTCCATGGTTCTGCAGGTTCAGGCGCCTAAATATGTTTAATTTCATTGATTAAATTGTTAAATTAACAGAAAATATATCAAAATTCATAATTAATATGTTATTGGCAATGGAGGAAGATACCAAAACAGCTCTAAACACAGAAGGCAACTACAGTTTCGATATCAATCATTGCTTAGATTTATTTTACTTCATAGTACACTAAAATATGTATAAGAGGAGATTATATTATATTTTCAGACTCATCTCCGCCATTCATCTACAAAATAAAGCTTGGAATTTATTCCAAGAAGCGCGTGAAGCATTCTTCACAGAAAAGATTTAATAGATTGGAAATTGGATAATGTCGCCAAAATCAAATGAAGAACATTCAGATAAGAAAACAAAGTCCGATTAAGCCATGTGGCGAATCTCGGGAAGCTCTCCGATATTAGTTGTTAGTGTCACAGGCGATCTACGGAAGGAGGGGAAGAGCTTTTGAATTTCCCTCCCCCAAAATGGTAAAATATCTAGTAAGTAAGTAAACGGTAAAATAACATTGTCTTATGAAAAGAATATTAAAATATTATCTTTACAAGTATTAATTTGTGGTTTATTTGAATATAAGAGGACTTCAACACGAAAATAGTCAGTTTCTATATTTTTCTTCCAAAGTAATAATCGTAATATATATAAAGCTTTCGGATTGAGTTTCTTCCTAAATTAAATCCTGGATATGTTAGTGGTTTGTGTTGCTAGTTAAGTTTTAAGGTACGTTAAGACATTTCACAAATTATGGGACAAACAAATATATAAATGGTTATTTTACTACGCTAGTATTTTTGTTTATTGTTTTTGATATTTTCCATCTGCTGTCGATACTTGCCACAGTCGATGGCGCAAGAGTTCACCCTCCTCCCCTCTCCCAAGATATTTTATTGCTCACTTTCCTTAAAAACATAAAAAGAAAAAAATCATCATATACAATTACACTTGCTGCGGTCTGTTCCATGTTTGCCTCTTGTCCCGTAATCCGAAAATTTATAACCCTATCGAACTTTGCCAGCCTCAAAAACCCATCAAAATATGAACCCCTCAAAAATTTTTATGGCGCAACCTGCGCCATGGAACCCCCTTTTGGGCACTCCTCTGTCTATATTAAGATAAACGATTTAGCAATAATGTCGTTGTTAGTGATGAAGATAATTTGATTTCTCCATAGTTTGCGAAATGACTAAAAGCACCTTAAAATGCTAAATCGACAGAAAATAATCAGCACTGAAAACTTATAAAGTGCAATTATGTGGAGTTAATTTCAACGCATTCTTAAATGACGCCGAACCATTGACATCAATGCTGATATTTTTTTTAAAGACAGTTTAATTGAGTTATATTTCAGAGAAACATTAAATAGGTACCTATACCTATAAAAGCTTATTAAGTGAAAAACTTTGTTCTTCGACTTATTTTTCAGGTTTGTCACGGGCTCCTGGCAGTAAACACATGGTCGTCACGTTGGTAGTTGGCACCCGAGGCGAAACTTTATCAGGCATCGGCCAGTGATATATTTTCACAAATTTACAAGTATAAACTTTTTGTTTTATTTTTTTCTTGGAGTGTTTTTGTGTATGTTTTGTTTATTTATAATCTATATTATAAAAGGAATTGCGAAATTTAATGAGTGTCAGCTATTGGGGCAACTGCTACTGGATTCTTTTGCCAATTGTTGACAGGCCTGTATTCAGTAAAACGGAGCTTAAAAATTGACCATCTACGAATCACTCGTTAAAAAAAAATCCTAGTGATGTGAATTAATAATAAAGCAAAAATAAATTTTTCTATTGCCAAATACAGGTTATATATAATGTTAAGCATTTACCAATAAATTTAAATCGGGAAACACAAGAAATTGGTTTTATAATAAGTTAAAGGTAATTTTTTTTAATGAAGAATATGAAATTTTAACACATAATTAAATCCTTGCCGCTTCTCTGTCAGTTATAAGAACGTTCCAAATGAAACCAAGGTACAACAAAACTATTCTTTTAATTTACAATTTTTAATATTTAGATGACTGCTTGATGGATTTTAAATGTGTCGCTGCAAGGTGAGAAATAGATCTATTAGAAGAACCCAATAAAAATACAATAATATCAATATTTAAGTTTTTACACCTTAACGTTCAATGAAGTTTCCTTAAGCATGCCAACTCCTGGTGCTTATAAACTACTATGGGAAAAATAAGTGTTTAATAACTAATAATAGCACAATCCATAATCATTTACAGATTACATTTACAGATGTGTACTCAAATATCTCTAGGCATATATACTGCAGAGATTGGAGTTATGTGGTTCACAAAAGCATACCGAGTCACGAGGTTTTTATTGCCTTCCGTCGACATAAGAAATAGCGTATGTGTTATTTTAATGACCTTATTGAGTTGTTACAGGATAGCTATAAGCTATTGCCAGAAAATAATTTCTATTCAAAGTAGACCAGTATGTGAAAATTGTGTAATGCGATGACCAGTTTTTTTTTCATAACCATTGTTGAAAGAAGAATTTAGGAATCAAGGGAATTCAGAATTCAATTATCATCTCGAAAAAGGCTATACTGCAATGCCGAAACAGTATTTTACCTACACAGAAAGTTGTTACAGGTCGGTCTAAGAGATTTATAATTAGAATCACCAGTTTGTAGTATTTGTTTACGTTCAATAAATAAACATTCTGCGAACGTTGGACGTTCCCAAAAGGCGGATTTTAAAGGTGGGCACGACAGTTTTTTACATTTTTTTTTATTTGGAGGGGAGGAGGTGCTGTGGGGATTAACTTTAATTGATTGATATTAATTAATAAATGTTTGGCGTTTTCTAAGATATTCAGTAAACTTTTATACTTATTGGTCAAATTTTAACAGATATTAATTGTCATTTGAAGAAATAGTCATAACAATTATGAATATTCAAGTGAAAATTAAACACTACTAGCCACGCACATATGTAAATAATAAAAATCTGGAGCGCGCAACACACAACTTTCACTTACCACTTACCGCTAAACATTGTATAGAAATTATTTTCTGAAAACGTTGGGATATTATAAAATTTTTGAAGGGCATTTTAAACGGAGCTAAAGCTTAAAGCTTACACATAGCAAATCATTAAGACTACTGAAACTACAAAAAAACTCTATTTATTATATCGAAGGTAGACAATACAAATCTACATAGTTACTCCATCTGCTTTTATAAACCACATAACTTTAGTGTCTGATCTATGTGTCCTTCCTCACAAGGGTGCTCCCTCAGCAGAAATAGAGGCTAAGCAATAAAAGAAAAACACATTTTTCTATAGAACGAAGCGCAAAAATGGCTTTAATTTTCGTACATTTACTAAACACAAGTTTTACTATTTTCTCCACTTTTAACAGAAATTATTGTCTGAAAAATAGGGCTATGACCAAAAAGTTTTTGGTTAGCAATATTACAGTATTAATTTTTTTTCACTGATCTTCCACAAGCGGTTACATTTATCAAAGAAATCGAACTCAAATCTTTTCTTCGATCAATTTTCAGGAAAACAAATGTAATTCAGTTTTTTGGTTTTTCCCAAATGGATCCATTTAAAGATATAAACACTTTTGTGAAATGGGTAGGAAAGTCATTAAAGAGGACACATCAGATTTTTATTTGATACTTTTTTTTAAAGTTGAATTTCTAGAGAATTAGTTTACTAGCTGCATTTCATTGACCTTCATTTCTAGAGATGAATGATTCGCTGTTACGAACGTTTGAGTAAATAAATAGAATATAAACCCATTAAAACGGTTGGCATTTCCCAGAAGATAAGATAGAACATTAGATATGTTAAATCATTATATAAATAGGCCAAGACAAAACAGTTCAGTAACTTTTTCTCCTCAGTTTCTCAACCAATTTTTTTTGTCTATTAGATATTGACGAACTTTAGTGTTATCAATTAAAAAAACCTTGGAAACAGTGCATGAAAATAAAAATATAAAAGTTAGTTTAAAACAGCTAATCTCGGAAAGTTCTCCACCGATTGCTTTGCTATTTTGATATGAAGTTGTAATCAAATTCAACAATGTTTTTATGTACTTTTCATTACTATTCGGTCTTTCGTTACGTGTCTCCCTATAGAATACATGCCTAAAACGGCTATAACGACTTTAATGAAACTTGGCTAAAATCTTTTAATTTAAATTAATTATTTAATTAATTTAAAGTTTTTGAATTCCTCAAATTTATGTATGTAATATACTTCTCCGAAAAGAAAGTTGCGAATGAAATAATTTTATTTGCGAACAACTAAAAACTATTTACTAAAACTATTAGCATAGTGCAATTCAATTTACCTAAACTTGGTGCTAACAAAAAAATAAAAATAAAAAAAATAAAAAAATATATATATATATATATATCCTGGGATACTCAACTTATTACCAATCCAAACAAAATTTAGATTAATTGTTAGGTGAACTAGGTGAATACTTGATCATCACTCTAGATAATGCAGATTGTCCCTGATACATATTGGTTCAATGGTTGCCCCAGCAATACAGGTCTAAAGAAGAACAGTAGAAGCTTTTTAAATTCCATCCGATGTTTATGTGGAGCAGAGACCCTATTGTCCGAGATTCCATTAACCAGGAATTCTATCGAAGGCCTCCTCACGTGCCCGCCCACCTCCTCTCTCGTTTTCTTTCTTTTCTTTTTTGAATTAAGAAACAAAGAATTTGTTTACCTCAAGGTACCAATTCTTGAAGAAGAGATCTGGTACATCTAAACCTAATTAACATTTGCAGCTTTTGTCTGTCATGAATAATTTTTTTTTAAGTACCCATTACTATGAAAAAAAAATCTCCATTCATTTATAACACTAAAACTCAAAGACAGTTTAATTTAACAATCTTTGTTTTCTCTCCAAATCTTAATCGGCTCCTGTCACGAATTTGACAACAAGCAGATGAGTTCTTGTAGAGAATCTGGAAAATGGCATTTTAGGCTTACAATCTTCCAGGTCTT